TCTCCCGGCTGGCAGGCCTCAGAGCAGGCCGGGGCGAGGCGACCGAGGGGGACGAGGGATGGCAACGGTAGGGTACGCCGCTCCTCACCTGACCCGGTGTAGCAGCGTCTCGTCCCAAACTGATCTCGGGCAAGATGGAGCCGGGGGCGGGCCCGGGAAGGGCGGGGCGCCGAGGGCCGCCGCCCGAGGCCGTTAGGATCGCAGGGGGCGGTGCCGACAGGGCCAGTCCAGGCGGCTGTCGGTGCCGCTGCTCCGGCTTTCCCTTCCGCTCCGCCTCGCCGCCCCACCTGCGAGAAGACGCTCTCTTCGGGTGCACCAGCCAGTTTTATCACAGTTCCTTCTGGGCTCTCTCAAGCCATTTGGGAAGTTGAAGCCGTCCTGAGGAATCCCGAAGCCCCTTCAGTGGTGGGCGGCAAAGAAGGGCTCGAAACTGGGAGGCCAGGGGCAGCCTCTCCGCCTGATGTGCCGTCCTCCCTATCTTCTGAGGACAAAGACGGTGTCTTTTATTAGTCCCTTGTGAATTGAATTAATATTTATGAGGCTCCTAGATAGTGGGAACAGGAGATGCACTAATCAAAACCACTCCAGAAGGGAGTTGTTAGGTGATTCCAGGCTCCCCTCACACTAGAGCCCTACCATTAAACATTTGAGGCAATTTCAAGGGCCCAGACCAGTATCTTAAACTCATTAAGAAAGTTTATATTCCAGAGCAAAGAACCAGTTGGCTACCTTTTACAGTGGTTCTCAAACTGTGGTCCCCAGACTGGCAGCCACATTACCTGGTAACTTGTTAGAAATGCTACTCATTGGGCTCCACCTTAGACCTAATGAATTAAATTCTAGAGATGAAGCCCAGCAATCTGTTTTAACAAGCCCTCCACGTGGTTCTATGCACACTAAAGTTTGAGAACTATTAACCTATTACTCCACATGCTTTTCTACCCAAAACCTTCCTCATGGGGGTGGGATAGGGTGGATTAAATTTTTAAGTGGCAAAAGCAAGATATACATGGCCCTAAAACAGGGGTGAAGTGGAAGGTACTTGAGAAAGGTCACTGCCAAATTTGAACAAAACTGCACAACACTCTGGATACCCAGCATTAATTCCCCAGCTCTCACCAATCGGTCTGGAAAATATTGGGCCTTTCTGTCCAATCTGCCTGGAGACCTCTGGAATTTAAGCATTCCCTAAGAAGCCTGTCCTTACTCCTTTGCTCTATATTACTACCTAGGTGATCTCATCCCCACCCTTCCCTCTGCCTTAACTATCAGCTTGAGAGGTTATTTTCCAAACCTCCTATTTCCCGCCCACTTTCCTGAGCTATAGGCCCAAATATCCGATAGTCTATTCAGGTAGATACCACTAGATTTCCCACTTCATCCTTTCAATTTGTCCTTCTTTCTTGACATACAAGGACCTCCAGGGCCAGAGACCCTTTCCTCATGCTGCCTCTGCCTAGAAAGCACTGCCTGCCTTTTAACAATTATGAATCTATTAAGACTCAATTCAAAGATCACCCATCTCCTTCCTGCCTCAAGAAGCTTTTCCTGACCTTCTTTTCTTTACCTTCCCTTGGGTAGACTCCCTTTTTTGCACCCAAGAAAACCTTTTATAGATGTCTGCTGTGACACATTTAACAGTAGTCATGGGCTTCCCTGGTGGCGCAGTGGTTAAGAATCTGCCTGTCAATGCAGGGGACATGGGTTCGATCCCTGGTCCGGGAAGATTCCACATGCCACGTAACAACTAAGCCCGTGTGCCACAACTACTGAGCCTGCACTCTAGAGCCTGCAAGTCACAACTACTGAGCCCACGGGCCTAGAGCCCATGCTCCGCAACAAGAGAAGCCACCGCAATGAGAAATCTGCGCACTGCAACAGAGTAGCCCCCACTGACCGCAACCAGAGAAAGCCTGCGCGCAGCAACAAAGACCCAACGCAGCCAAAAAAAAAAAAAAAAAAACCCAGTAGTCATAGCACATGAGTATTTAACTTGCCTGTATTCAACCACATGAACTTAGCAAAAACAAAACACCTCTGAAGGTCATCATATGCTCCAGAGTTCACATAAAATAGGAGACATTATGCTTCTCCTAATGTGAATATTGCACTGTGTTTAAACACACATACCGGACTTCCCTGGTGGTCCAGTGATTGAGACTGTGCTTCCAATGCAGGGGAGCGTGGGTTCAATCCCTGGTCAGGGAAGTTCTGCATGCCAAGCAGTGTGGCAGCAAAAAAAAACATAAAAAGAAGCAAAAAAAAATATATATAAAAAAATAAAAAAAAAACACCCATACTTTTTTTACAGATAGAGCAGTAATTTTGTCCCCAAAGGGACATTTGGCAATGTCTGGAGACGTTTTTGGTTGTCACAACTAGGGAGGAGGGTTTTACTAGTATCAATGGGGAGAGGCCAGGGATGTTACTAAACATTCTACAATGCACTGGACATCCCCCTACAACAAAGAATTATTCAGCCTGAAATGTCAGTAATACTGAGGTTAAGAAACTCTGAGTTAGACTAATCTTCCTAAATAACGGATTTGGTCATATAATTCCCTGATTAAACTCCTCCACTAGCTTCCCACTGGAACCAGAATAAAATCCAAACTCCTAGCCATGGTCTATTAAGCCCCACATAATCTGGCTACTGCCTACCTCTCTGATCTCATCCCTCTTCACCTTCCTTCTCAAGCACCAAACTCTGGTCAAAATGGCCTTCTGTCTAAACATACCAAGCTTGTGACCAAACACACCAGAGATTCCCAGGATCTTTACACTTGTTATTGCTCCTATTTGCAATGTTCTCTATTGCATGTTACATCTCAAATGTCATCCATCTCCTCAGAGAGGTATGTATTCCCTGAACATTGTAGCATTAGTAGCCCCACTGTCACTAACACCACTACCAGTTATACACACTAATCACCCTATTTAATTTTCTTTGTAGCACTTAAAAGCATATAAAATTCTGTATTTACTGTTTGTCATCTCCCCTGCTGCCCTCGGAATGTACACTCCTTGAGAACAGGGATATCTCTAGAGTCTAGAAATAAAATGTTCAGTAAATACTTGGTTGACTACAACAGGGCCTCCCAGACTCAAGCCAATTATTTCATCCAGTGATCAACTAAATAAACAGAGGTCTGTTTCCAATAGTGGAGGAAATAACTGGCTCTGATAGACTTGTTGAGATAAGGATATGTTGGAATCCACAATGGAGTGTTATCCTAAGGGAATTTCAATGTAGTTTTGAAAATACAGCTTTTTCACTTCATATGCTGACTTTAGAAAATGTAACTCATTATATTGCCCCTGCTTAACATCAGTCTTTTATTAAACTGTAAACACTCTAAGGGTAAAAGCCATTTGGAATCCTCAGCATCTAGCATGAAGCTAAGGCACTTTTATGTACTGTCACCACCACTCTAAGCTGGAAATTTTTGTGTCACCTGTTACTGTGTGGTTTCTGTCTCCTGATTAGACTCTGATAGATATATCACATTTCACCCAAAACAATCAGTAATTAAGCCCTATAGATTTTACTTTCACATTCTAGCTACAAAATATTATCTACCTGTTTACTTTCCTTGTTATAGCTAGACCTCTTCTTTTCCCTAACTACTACCATTGGTCACTTTAGCTGATACATGCATTACATCATCTGAACCACAAAAATGGCATTCTGACTGGTTTTTCCATTGTCGAACCATCTTGCTCAGTAAGTTCAATCTATTTATGTTACTGAATAATATTCAAAGTGGTATGTATTCAATAATAGCTACCATTTATTAAATACATACTATATGCTAGACACTGTTAAGCACTTAACAAATATTCTCATTTTTTACACTCTGATTTAAAAAACTGTTTTTGGTAACAGCTTTATTGAGATATAATTCACTGATGTAAAGTGTACAATTCAATGGTTTTTAATATATTCAGAGTTGTACCATCACAATTTTAGAACATTTATATCACCCCAAAAATAAAGCCCATACACTTTAGCCATCATCCCCAATATGCTCACCATCCTCATCTCTATGCTGCCACTCATCTACTTTCTGTCTCCATAGATTTGCCAACTCTAGACATTTTATATAAATGCACTCAGATAATATGTGGTCTTTTATGACTGGATTTTCACTTAACATGAACATGGATGAGCGTATTTTCAAAGTTCATCCATGTTGTAGCATGAATCAGTACTTCATTCTTTTCTATGGCCAAATATTTCATTATATGTATATGCCACATTTTGTTTATCTATTCACAAGTTGATGGACACTTGGGTTATTTTTACCTTTTGGCTATTATGAATAATGCTGCTGTGAACATTTGTGCACAAATATTTTCATTTCTCATGAGTACACACCTAGGAGCAGAATAACTGGATCAAATGGTAACTTAATGTTTAACTTCTTGAGAAACTGCCAGACTGTTTTCCAAAATAGCTGCACCATTTTACATCCCTACTAGCAGTGTACGAGGGCTGCAATTTCTCTACATCCTCGTTAACACTTGTTATTATCTGTCTTTTTTATTGTTGTCATCCTAGCAAAAGAAGCACTTTCTTTCATTGTGGTTTTGATTTGTATTTCCAGATGACTAACGATGTTGAGCATCTTTTCATGTGCTGATCGATCATTTGTATATCTTCGTTGGAGAAACATCTGTTCAGATCATTTGCCCACTTTTAAATTGAGTTATTTGTCCTTTTATTATCGAGTTGTAAGAGTTCTATATATATATTCCGGATGTAAGTGGAGAGGCTGAGGTCACAGCAAGTTGTAGAAATGAATATCCAGGGAATATCCTAATCCTGAGAGTGTGATAAGAGAAGGATGACAATAGACAGGGTGTGGTAGAATGGCAGACCCAAAAAGAGAGCTGATGTTAATCACTCCTTTGGCAAGAGAGAAACCTCCAATCTTGAGATGTTCTGTGTAGACAAGTAACACTTGGCAGTGAACAGGAAATAAGATAAAACAAGTGACTTAAGAAGCCCCAAACTGAGTTTATTGTGGTATAGACCAGGTGATAACAAACTCCAGTGTATTCAAGTAACCCTGATACACCCTGGGATACCTAAAATACAACACAAGGGCAAAAAGCTGCTCTAAAATTAGAAGTCCCCAAGAGAAAATAGGAAAATGAGACATGTATCTCGAAAAAGCCAGGAAGTAGAACAGTGTGCCAATCCTCACAACCTCCCCCACGTTCCCAACCACTTCTCTACTTCCTCATTTTTCCACTACTTCAAGTCATTAAGACTTCTGCATTTTTTAGCCCAAATTGCTGTATAAGAAGAAAGTCTTTTTCAGAAGAATAAGGTGCCATTCTTCTCCTTGGTGCCATCCGGTTAAAGTCAAAACGTATAACTTTCTCATGAAGGAAACTCTTAGGAACTTAAGGCTCTACAAAGACTGATATAAGGGCCTTTTGTCACACACTAAATCTAGAATCCTGTCTCCACACACTAAATCTAGAATCCTGTCTCTAGAAGCTACATGTGGCTAACCTCTTGGAAATGAGTCACATCATACAGGAGCTCCCATTCAGCTTAGAATCTACCAGGACAAGTGAATTAAGTTTACGATATAGTGGATTTGAAAGTTGGCAATAATCTGGCATCAGCAGGTAATTTCATCACAATCTCTGCATTTTCTAGACATCCAGTCAGGATCTGGCTCAGCTATTTATACCCTGCCTTTTACTTTCTCTTCCAATTGCCTCTTATCCAGCTGGCAGGAGCTTCCAAGAAACGTGATATAGTAGGCACTGCAGTATACTGGCTGCTTGTTGGGGTTGGAGTAGACCTGTTCAGGTTTGAGGGACGCAAAAGGATTAGCTCCACAGGCTGTGATGTGTGTATCCATGTCCACCAGAATCTGCAAAGAGGCTGCCAACTCCTGCTGGCTATTGGAGACAGATAAGAAAAATTGCCCTGCTGATTATGAAAGAGATAGGAGAGGAACTGCTCATCAATCCCAAAAATTACCTAAGGCTGGACTAACGCAACAGCTATCCCTCCCTCCCAAATGTCTAGACTAACTACTCAATTAACTAGCATAGCACTTTGAAGGGATGAGAAAGCCAAGCATGGGAAGGAAGAAAATCCTCACCAGAAGGCAGAAGATGAGCAAGGGGGAGAGAAATGAGCTCATCTACATAGAGGTGTGAGTGAATTGGGGAGGTATCACAAATAGGAGGAGGTCAAAACCTGTAAACAGTAATCATTGTAGGGATCTCATAATCACGAAGTAGCAAGAGGGTGGGCAGCCAAGCCTCCATCAGGTCCAGGGAAGCATGGAAACCTATGGAACAAAAATGGAGATGGAAATAGAAAGGGGAAATGCTAAGGCAGACCCTAACCAACATACTTCTTTGACTGCGTCCACCCCTCACCTTGCTCACCTCCAATGCTCATTTACCACCATCACCCGCCCCAGATTCTTTAATGGAAAATTATGGACCCAGGTGTAGCACATATGGCTAATGATCAACCAAGGTCTTCATTATATTATGCTCAACCTGACCAAATGAATGGGGTTCCAAAGGTACAAGAGCCAGGATGGAAAACTCCCAGAGGACCGACCCTGTATTCCCCCAAACAAATGACTCTTACCTGGATGGAATGCCACCACCAAATCTGGATGGGCTATCTGCCCAGACTCTACCTGCTCCTCCCAGAAGTCAAGATAGAGGCCCCTATGGCTACTAAGCTGAACTGTGCCAGGTTCCAGGAGTGAAGGTGAGGCACTCTGTGAAAAGCCAGCAGCTACATCTACACCAACCATGATTACATGGAGGCCAAGGTGCCCAGGAAACATGTAGCCAAGTTCATCATAGTCCCAGGGTGAGTGAGGAATGTCTCTGCATGAGAAGCACCAACCACGTGCACTGTGCTTCCCCCGACCCTCCCAACATTTATCCCCAAGGCCCAAAGCCTAAAGCCCAGTGTCAAGGGCCGTGACAGGGCATCTGTCAGCAACCGCTTCAAAGAGCCCTGCAGGACATCTGGATCTGGCCTTGGCCATCCTACACTGGCCCACAGGGTGGTCATGGCCTGACTACCAAGCATAGCATCCAGAGTAGCCTCTAGCTGTAAACGTCACATAGAAAACCAGGTGTCCCAGCCCTGTGTGCCTTCAGTCAGCCAAGACCAGGGTCCTGAGGGAAGGACAAAACCACCTGCAGGAAAGAAGGAATAAGAAATGACCTAATCCTTCCCTGGCTTCAATATTCCCTCCATGTTCATTCTCCCAACCTGTCCCCAAGACTGCCCTGTCCCACTCAGTTCCTCATTTTTTCCTCAAAACAACACACTTTCATATATTTCTCCAAGTACCATCAACTATGACCATTATGGCAAAATTCCCCAATACTGTCACTCCACCTGTGACCAGAGGCCATTCCATGAGACGGTCCACAGCTACAAGACACAGCTCTTGACAAACCCTCCTGTGTGCTGGCCAGTCTGACCTCTGGCACTCTGGACCACAGTAATAGACACTTCTGCACCTGAGAGAATGAGGCCCAGAAACAGATGTTCCTATACCTCAAAGGTGAATGGGGGACTCCTGGGGAAGGGAACTGATATTCCTGCACCTGGGAAGAAAGATCACCGGGTGAGGAAAGTAGGGAGAGGAATGACAGCTGCTGCAACAAATTTGGGGACTATGTTTGGCACAGGAGGCAGGAGGGAGTGGGAACGTAATTTTTCTCTTGGGTTACAGTGACACCTCAGCCTCTGTCTAGAACTAACTTTTTACATCCCTTACAGAAACAAAAAAACAGCAGGAGTTTGTGGCTGCCCTGTTATCACAGGTGTGGCTTGACCCCAACCTCCCCAGACAGATACGGTCTTACCACTTAAGTGCTCAAGAGAAGAGAGGTAGGGCTTCCCTGGTGGCGCAGTGGTTAAGAGTCCGCCTGCCAACGCAGGGGACACGGGTTTGTGCCCTGGTCCAGGAAGATCCTACATGCCGCGGAGCGGCTAGGCCCGCGAGCCATGGCCGCTGAGCCTGCGCGTCCGGAGCTTGTGCTCCGCAACGGGAGAGGTCACAACAGTGAGAGGCCCGCGTACCGCAAAAAAAAAGAAAAAAGAAAAAAAAAAAAGGAGGAGAGAGGTAGAAAGGATTATACTCTGGTCTAACCTCCCCATAATACCAAAATAATCAGGAGTCTTATAAGCAACCCTTTTCTAATTTCTCTGTGGCCTAGATCACACAAAATGAGGAGCAAGCCTGAAGTTATTCTGAAAATTCTCAGACCTTTCCTCCTGCAATGAGGTCTTAGAATAGGATCATTCCGGATGTCTCCCCTATTAGCCCCCAACTAATCACCTCTTGCCGGAGGACCCTGGAGTTTGAAAGGCCACTAGGGAGTACTTTACAGTGAGCACAGAATCGGAATGTGTCCTCCATCTTCTGGAACATTTCTTGAAGGCATCGATATCCAAAGCCTGATACAGGAGTATCCCCATCTAGCACCAACCTGCAGAAACAGCATGAAGAAGGAGTGGCAATAGGAAAAACACCTCCAAAATTTCTCATGACTCTTACCTTGTCTCCTATATATTTGCACCTCTCCTACTCCCATTGTTTCTCTTTTAAGCAAATTATATTTCTTCTATAGTAATAAAACTGGCAAAAGTCAGGATGAGAAAATCCCTCATTGCAAATACCCCATATTCCCCAAGCTATACTCCCTCTCCACCTTATGAATCACTTCTACCAGTGACAATATATCACTCTTCCATAGAGTTAGTCACTCACTTGTATTCTTCATAGCTTTTCATGTTCAGCTTTGAAGGATCAGCTGGGATAGGCCAGGAACATTATTCTCCAAGGAGAAGAAGCCAAGTGTATCAATGCTAGGTCCAGGTTTTGAGAGGGTCAGAGGCACAGGAGTCACAACTGTGGGTGGGGTCACAACCACGGGAGCCACTGATGAGGGGAGTTTCTTGTGCCTTCGTCATCGGGACCGTGGAGCCATGGCCTGTCCAGTGATACCTGGGGACTATACGTAGAACAGATATGGAATGGAATTTTGTAAGTTGGACACATATGATGCTTTTTCATATGTTTGACCTTTCACTTGTCATTCCAGTCTCTCAGGCCCAGGTATCAGTAAGATTTATTTCATATCTACAGATTATTGATCACCACAGGCAGTTGTGAAAAAGAGAAATAATTATATGTGACTATAATTATACATATATGTATTATACATGAAGTTCTATATATAATATAGATGCCTAGAAAAGTCTGGCAGGGCTCATATAAAATTGATAACAGTGATTAACTCTGAGGAAGGGAAAAGGCACTAGGATGGGAATTGGATCGATAAAAGGGAACTTTAGACTTGTTTGTAATGTGTGACTTTTTATACAAAGAATATATTCGTATACTATTTGTGTATTTTAAAACATCAACTTAGAGGAAAAAGCAACAAAAGTTTTGGTTGGGCTTCCCTGGTGGCGCAGTTGTTGAGAGTCCAACTGCCGATGCAGGGGACATGGATTCGTGCCCCGGTCCAGGAAGATCCCACATGCCGCGGAGCGGCTGGGCCCGTGAGCCATGGCCGCTGAGCCTGCACGTCCGGAGCCTGTGCTCCGCTACGGGAGAGGCCACAACAGTGAGAGGCCCGCGTACTGCAAAAAAAAAAAAAAAGTTTTGGTTGTCCGAAACTACCATCTAACTAGAGAAACAGTCAATCTAATCTAGTTGGGGAAGGAAAACATTCATTTTAAAAGACCTATCATCACATTTATAAGCAATAAACCAAAAAGTAGAAATCAAATGCAATACCAAATTAGCACTACAATGCCAAGTTATGCACATTATTAGGAAAATTTTCTAAAAAGGTGAGTTCTGAAGTAGAACTAAACCCACACCCACTCACTACCTAGAGAGAACTCTTGTGGTGTCCTCCTTCCCTGGCCTGTCTTTTCCCATTCCTTCCACGAGGGTTAAGTAAACAAAAGGGACTATACTGGAAAAAATAAAACATAAATATTTATTGATAAACAGATAAAATCATTTGCAAAATACTATAACAGAAACAAATGTGAAAGAACATACTTAACATCTATATGTCTTAGACGTTAGATATAAACTATAATATAAGGCAGTGTATAAATCCTACAAGAAAAGTGAAACTAGAGCACTAATGGGAGATCAGAAGAAGAGAGTCTCTCAGTTGGTGAGCTACAGACAGACTTTATGAAGCAGCAGTTGGAACAGACCATGAAATATGGCAATACTGTGAATACACAAAGATAGGGAAACAGGAACTCTAAACACAAAGAAGAGTGTGACCATAACAAATGTAGATGGGAAAATTCTGGGAACTAAGGAACTAGAATGGTTTGAGCTGGATTATTAAGTCTAAAGATCTAAGTGTAAGAGAGAAAAACTATATATAAAGTCTTAGGGGCTTCCCTGGTGGCACAGTGGTTAAGAATCCACCTGCCAATGCAGGGGACACGGGCTCAATCCCTGCTCCGGGAAGCTCCCACATGCCGCGGAGCAACTAAGGCCGTGCACCACAACTACTGAGCCTGCACTCTAGTGCCCATGAGCCACAACTACTGAAGCCTGCGTGCAGCAACAAAGACCCAACACAGCCAAAAATAAATTAACTAATGAAAAAAAAATTTTTTTAATGGTAACTTTCATGTTAAAAAAAAAACCACTATAAAGTCTTAGAAGAACACAGGGGAAAAGCTTCATGATACTGTATTTGCCAAGTTCTTGAATACGACACCAAAAGCACAAGCAATAAAAGAAAAAATAGATAAACTGGACTATATCAAAATTTTAAAACTTTTGTGCATCAAAGGACAAAGTGAAATGGCAACCCATAGAATGGGAGAAAATACTTGTAAATCATATATCTGATAAGAGATTAATATCCTGAATATGTAAAGAACACCTGAAACTCAACAACAACAAACAGCCCAATTACAAAATGGGCAAAAGACTTGAATAGACATTTCTCCAAAGAAAACATACAAATTTCCAAGAAGCACATGATACTCAACACGACTAATCAAAGGCAAATCAAAACCACAGACACCACTTTACTCCCATTAGGATGGCTATCATCAAAAAACTAGAAAACAACAAGTGTTGGTGAGGATGCAGAAAAACCGGAACCTTCCTACACTGATGGTAGGAATGTAAAATGGTGCAGCTGCTGTGCAAAACAGTATGGCAGCTCTGCAAAAAGTTAAATAGAGAATTATCATATGACCCAGCAATTTCACTCTTAGGTATACACCCAAAATAACTGAAAACAGGTATGCAAACAAATGCTTATACACAAATGTCCATAGCAGCACTATTCACAGTAGCCAAAAGGTAGAAACAAACTAAAGGTTATCAAAAGATAAATGAATAAACAAATTGGGATATATATATATATATATATATATACACACACACACACACACATATATATACACATATATATGTGTGTGTATATATATATATGTATATATATATAAATTCAGCCATAAAAAGAAATGTACTGATACATGGTACAATGTGGATGAACCTCAAAAATATTATGCTAAGTTAAAGAAGCCAGACACAAAACGACACATTATATGATTGCATTTATATGAAATATCAAGAATAGGTAAATTCAGAGACAAAGCAGATCCGTGGTTGCCAAGGGCTGGGTGGAAGGGGGAATGAGGAGTAATCGATTAATGGTTATAGGCTTTTTGGGGGGGGTGATGAAAACGTTTTAGAACTAGATAGAGGTAGTGGGTGCACAACAATGTGAATGTACTCAATGTCATTTAATTGCTCACTTTAAAAGGATTAATTTTATGTTATGTGAATTTCACCTCAATTTAAAAAAGAAGAAAGGTATCTATAGAGATTTTGAAGCTAAAAAATTGTTTTATTCCCCAGATAAACTGCCTTCAGGGACAGGGAAATGAAGAGGATAATGCTGACAGTGGTTGTTTTTTATTGTGATTGAGGTAAAAGTTCAAATCAAGAATTGTGTTTTGTTACAAAAATGGTCTGACATTTAATCCTTCTGAACTAGATCTGTTAGGAAAAAACTCCAGAATCATCATTCAGCTGAGATGTAGGTGGCAGAACAATCAAACAAAAACCCTCCCCAAATCATCCAGCTAATATCCATTATCTTACAACATGGCTCTTGCAAACCACGGTCCTCAGGTTAATGGAGGAACTAATTTGATTTTCCTTTGTAGTTTCTTTCTCCTCGTCCTTTCATTCCACCCCTGTTCTCCCCCCTCATCCCACAGATGAACGGCCAGTTTCAGAGTCCACAAAACAGAGATAACTAAGTTCATCTGCGTATCATATCTTCTACATTCCCACCAATAAAGAAGAAATTAGACCTAAAGATAGTACATTATTTTAGGATTTAAGGGTTATCTCTCTTTCCTAAAGGGCAGATGGAATTGCCTTCAAACCTTAGGACACCATTTCCAAAAACTGACCTGGCTCTTCCCTCCACTTTTTTTTAAAAAAATTTATTTATTTTTGGCTGCATTGGGTCTTTGTTGTTGCGCACAGGCTTTCTCTAGTTGCAGGGAGTGGGGGCTACTCTTCGTTGCGGTGTGCAGGCTTCCCATTGCGGTGGCTTCTCTTGTTGTGGAGCACGGGATCTAGGCATGCAGGCGTCAGTAGTTGTGGCTTGCGGGCACTACAGTGCAGCCTCAGTAGTTGTGACACACGGGCTTAGTTGCTCTGCATCATGTGGGATCTTCCCGAACCAGGGCTCAAACCTGTGTCTCCTGCATTGGCAGGTGGATTCTTAACCACTGTGCCACCAGGGAAGCCCTTTCCTCCACTTTTAATCACCAAACATTCTCATCACATTCCCAGAACCACCGCAATTCTAGAATAAGTACTCATATGCTATATCTACCCAGCCCCCTCTGGCAAGACACCACCTTCTTAAACCTTGAAAGAACGGACTCATCTTTTCTTTACAGGTATGGAGGAAAAGTATCTTTGAGATAAATCAATAGTCTTAAATTCCAGAAGTAATAATAAATATCTTCCTGATACTCAACCAAAGGCCTTTATTCTGCAATGGAAGCCAATTAAGACCAGAAAGGTACTTATCCACCTTTCCAATGAGCGATCTTCCTCCAATGGAAGATTAAGTCCACTGGAAGACTGGATGAACTGGCTGGAAGTCAAGGGATCGATCACACAGCTTGGTGAGGCATGAAGTTGGTGAAACCCCTGATGCCATATTTTCCTCTGTGTCTACAGTGGGTTCCTGATACAAATGGATAATTTTCTGGCAGGAAGGTAAGAAGGTGGGAATGAGGAGCCAGGTCTTTGCATTTGCATCTGTATATATCATCAGGCTCATGTCTGAGTTTGTGTACCCAGCCCCCCTAGTTCTAACTTTCCTGCAATGAGGCCTAGTATCCTCCAAGTTTGGGGGTGGGGAGTTGACCTGAGAGAAACAAAGGCAGTGACTTGGGGTCTAATTTATTCCCAGTATATAAGAGAGAGAACACCAACACCAAGGACTGGAGAGGAGACATGAACTGGATGGCCTACAAAAACTCTTATCCTTCATCTCTAAATTCTCTAAAATATTAGCTAGCTTATCCCCACACCTAGGTCTCCCATATTCACCCCTCCTTACCACCAACAGCCTCAAATTTCACCTAAATCATAGTCATCTTCTCACCATCTCCAGACCAGTGAAGCCCATCTAATTTTCTCAAGTTCACCAGCACACAAAAAATGTCTTTAGGGAGTAGGGAAGAGAAGGGTGAGTGAAGCTCATCATTGGGGATCCTCAAAAGGGGTTAGGAAAGAGAAAAAGAAAAGGAGAAACACATTAGAAACATTGCTATTAGGACAACATTCAGCTGCTTTATCAGTGATTAACACTCCCTGGAGTGATAAATACTTTACTCAAATATAAACTAAGCAAGCAGAGGAGTTGATGGAAATGTAACTTACCCTGCTAAGCCCTCAGCTTCCTTCCTTCTCTCTTTCTTCCAAGTGAAGTAAATGCTTGATCTCCTCAGATCTACGTTGTGGCTGATTTGCAGCTGTCCCTTCATATCACTTTCCTTTGCAAACTGCTGAAATGCTGAGTCTCTGTGATAAGGTATGCCCTGCCAACCAGACAGACAACACTGAATTCTCCCTAACGAGGCAAATAAGGACCTGGCCCCCTGCCCTTGGACTTCTCTCTTTCTGACCTTCCTTCTCTGCCAGGAAGGCTCAGAACTCTGTCAACACTCCCAAACTCACCAAAGGCCAGGCAGGCTGAGGAAAGATGAAGCTTACTGCTTCCTGGACCTCTCTTACTAAGGCAGCATTTCTGCTCCCAGTCCACAGTGTCAGGAAAAAGCCCTTGGGATTAGTTCAGAAGTCAGTATTTGATTGGAAAAGGTAAACACTAGCCCAGAGGAACAGGAACCCCTAGAGTTCTAGATGTCAATCTAGACACAGGATGAGTTCTCCCAAGCCCCAAGTCCTTTTTAACGTAACAAACACTGCTCAAACACAACTCAACAGTGACCAATGTAGGTTTAAGTACAAATACGATACCCAGAAAAGGAGAATACAAATGGTCATTTAATGGTACAGAAAGAAATCAATTGGAGGGGAAACGTCCAGAATTAATTTGTAAAATTCAATTTCCCTGAAAGGAGAGCAAGGCACTTTCTGAGTGAATGTCATCAGGGGCATTCCACCTGTTTATTTTAAAAGAGGAATAAAATTTTCTGGAATATTAAAGTAAGCAAGACCAAAAACACACACTATTTCTAGGAAGAGAAAATAGAAAAGAACTCAAACATCTCATTCCTTCCTGTAATGGATGCTGATCCAGGGAATTTAATTCCACATTTCTAGCTCCTTTGCACTTAGAGCTATCAAGCTCCAGAACCTATCAGAGTTGTTAGTGCAGTGGTCCTATATGACTCTACGACCTGACGCTGCTTATATGTGGGCCCAGCTATGTCACTTACCTGCCTCTGTGAACATCAGCAAATTGGGGAACAGAACCACTTGCAATAAGGTCCTGGACCGTGGCAAATAAATCTATGCATGAACAGATGCAGAGAATGGATTCCAAAGGAACCCCAAAATGTAGAAAGCACAAACTACAAGCAGGGAAGGTGGAAGAAAAGTGTTAAGGATGCAAAAAAAACATTACATAACATTATGTAGAATAGCTGTGGACAAAGGAAAATCAGTTGCAACAGGCAAAAATCCTGAATAAAATAGGGGTAATTCATTTTAAGCAAAGGTTTCAGGCCAATTTCAAGTTTAACTGGCAGAAAATTGAAAGGTTTTGAGGTTTGTTAATGGCTGAACTGCAAAAGGTAAAAGACTCAGATTGTCTTTTCTAACTCAGAAGTGTCATCTTTGAATATAAAGGGAGATGATATATAGAAAAAAACTGACATTGAATAGTTTACATTTCACCATCATTACTACTGTTCTGGTAGACATTTAAATTTACAATTTAGAAAGATCTGAACTTTTCACAATTTGCATTCATCATGAGTTACATTAAAAAAAAAAACCTTTAAAAGTACTTCTATGGTTCGTTGTGAAACTAGTTAGAAGACAGACTAGAAAGAGCTTCCTATTCAACAAGTACAAAGGGGGCTTCCCTGGTGGCGCAGTAGTGAAGAATCCTCCTGCCAATGCAGGGGACACAGGTTCAAGCCCTGGTCTGGGAAGATCCCACATGCTGCGGAGCAACTAAGCCTGTGAGCCACAGCTACTGAGCCTGTGCTCTAGAGCCCGCGAGCCTAGAGCCCATGCTCCGCAAGAAGAGAAGCCACCGCAATGAGAAGCCCGCACACCGCAACGAGAAGCCCCCGCTCTCTGCAACTAGAGAAAGCCCGTGCACAGCAACAAAGACCCAACTCAGCCAAAAAGTAAGTAAAATAAATTAAAAAAAAAAAAAAGTAGGAAGGGATCTATGAGGCACTGGGTGATATTCTACCACTCTTCATGTATACCACTTTTTCTGAGTTCCATTCCTTCCTCTTATTTTCTTCTTAATTTTTGCCATTAACCCTAATTCTTCTGATTTGCTAATGATATTTTATGTTTACCCATGATTCCCATAAACACTATATAACCCTAGTAATGGACCTAAGGAACTAAAGAAGTTCCTGCTACCTGATATATTAGTTAAGCTCTTAATTTAGAGATGCATAGTTTTCACAGACCAATAACATCAAGAGAATATTTAAGGTATACAGTACATAATAACTGTAAAGGCAGCTCATGGACTGGGATGCAAGTTAATATTACAGCAAGCAGAAGCTGTAATGATCAACAATTGGAGTTCTGCTTGCTACCTTGAATTAGGCATGTATATATACTTCAAGTTAAATTAATGCTTTTTTTTTTAAGTCTTTATTGAATTTGTTACAGTATTGCTTCTGTTTTATGTTTTGGTTATTTTTTGGGCCGCGAGGCATGTGGGATCTTAACTCCCTGACCAGGGATCGAACCCACACCCTATGCATTGGAAGGCAAAGTCTTAACCACTGGACCACCAGGGAAGTCCCTAAATTAATGCTTTATAATGTGTATCATTATAATTATTGTTGAAAAATGTAATTAAAGTTGCTATACAATTATATTATTATAAAATGTTGAACAATATGCAAATTTCGCTCAATTTGCAAAATTCTATACTTATTTTGATTGTGACAAAGAACGAAAATGCAGTATTATTCTTTTCTTATTGTTAAAACTTAATAAATTCGAAATACTACTGTAACAAAATTCTAGACAATAACATTTTCTTTCAGTTAAAAGTTAAGTGAAACACTGATTTTAAATAACAGATTTAGGCCTATAATAGGCACCCAGAGTGCTCAGTTACTAATGCTCATGTAAAACAAGTATAAGCAAAGTAAAAAAAAAAGAAAAAAAAGGAAAAATTTATGAAGACAAGAATTTAATTCATCATATTACCATGAACTACCCATTAGATAATTTTCTCTGAATATCCCAATTCTACTAACAGGATTTTCTGATTTGCATGAGGTCAAATCAGACTACATCTTCCAAATAAAACCCAACACAGAGATAGGAGCAGCGGCCCATGCATGGAATTTATTGTGTGCTACTGTTTATAAAATACTCAAATAGTCCTGCACATGCATAATATTTCCAACTTAGAAAGGAGACCATACAGGGTGCACTTTCTGGCAAACAAACAATAGATGGTTCCGCTGCCTGGAGCTCTGAGTTGTATTCCAGGGCATGAGGGAAGCAGGCCACCAAAGTAAAGGGAAATACCAAACTACTGTGGCAATCAATACAGGTCAGTAATTGTGAAAAATTAGCACATGGTTCCATTTAGTCTAACCAAGCAGTTCTGTAACTATCAAAAGAAAATGTTCAACATGCAGTCTTGACTTTTATGCTTCCACTAACATCTGAATGACTGAACAGAACTGTTGCTTCTATGCTGCACTGCTTAATCAAAAACACTTCCAGAACATTTTAAAATTTCCTTTGCATCAAAACATAAAATGATAGGAAGCCAGCAGTAAATCACCCTGGTGGCTATTTAAGCAACTTGAGTACTCACAGTAAACTAAAATTTCTCATAACATCTAGGTAACCTATACATGTCGTACCTGTACATCATAGGTCTATATATTAAATATTTGCAAAATGAAAACATGCATACACAAAATACGTCAAGTTTTACAGACATGATTTGAATTAAAATTTACTTTGACAATGTACAAACTTCTTTTAAAGTACCTTAAATGAGTAATTCTGTAATTCTTCATAATTCTGAAATTTAGAGATTTTCTTCTTAAATCTCTGGGGTGTAAATCTCAAAAGATCTGGGCAAGAAAGATTCTAAATTAGTTTTTGGATTTGTGTACAAGTAAGAGAGTCTGCCTAGAAATAGGTTATGCATTCATAATTGAAAAATACCAAGACTATATTACAGAATTAGCCACATTTAGGAACTACAGACCTGAGGTCAGCATTTTGTATAAATGCCAACTGGGTTTCTCAGCATTTTGCCCATAATTCAAAACACAGCTTAGTAACCTCGGAAATGTATTTTAAGACCATGCTAACTCATCCTTTAAAGACATTTCATGGGGGAAAAAAAAAGTCCACATTATCTCTTAGGATTGTATTTGAAGTTATGGTTGAAAAACAAAATCTAATTCTACTGAGGGGAAAAAGAAATCTCATTTGTAAACTTAAATGTGTGAACCACAAGCATAAATGGAGGTGTAGTTGCCCTCCACTGGAAATTGCCCCAAGCCCCTTGCTCACTGCTCTCCACCTTGGCAGCGATGACCCAATCTTATCAGATAGCACAACATGTCCCAGGGCCCTCAAGCCTCCATCCAGGAAGGGGGCTGGGGTCTCAAAAGCACAATGGTTTCTCCAGAGGGACTGTGACATTTACAGTCAGCTTGACCGACCCCTCCAGCTCCTCGGGTGATCTGTCCATTTGGGGCCCGAGCTGTGAGAGTCCCTGGGAAGCCGTGGGTCACTGGGCACCATGGTTGCCAGTCCCGTGGTTCTCAGTGGCATGTGCGGTGTTCAGAGAATTGAAACCATCTTGCTGTACAGCATCTTTCCGGGGTGGCATTCTCTCATTGATCCTATCCAAACCCTTTGCCTCTTCAAAACTGCAGATTCTATGTGGTGGAGAGAATCCTCGTATTGCTTAACAAAATGCAAATTTGATACGTCAGTAATTGAAAAACATTTCTGAGATTTCAAAAACATAATTAATGATTTTTAAGAAGAAAGAAATTAGTTGTACATAGCAACATTTAAATCTTACTTTAACTGAAGCCTATCCCCATTCTAGATTTCCCCTTAAAAATGTGAAATGTTTAAACCTAAATATAAACATGACAGCTTCATAGACGACAAGTGTTACATAGCCTTAAAAAAAACACACACACAAAAATAATCCTCCCCTGCCCCCAAGACCTCCAGGCAATGGTCTCAGGGTCTCAACCTGACTTCTACTACATCAATTATCTCCTACCTCAGGCCCTAAGATCACCAGTGACTATCACAGTAAGGCAGCAACAAGAGTAGGGGCAAGTGAGGAGGCTAAACAAGGTTAATCCTCAACATACAAATCTGTACCAAGAGCGTGGGAGAAGAAAAGAAAGTTAAAATTTAGCAGATCAGAACTACCTTGGAGGTCAAGGTATTATCGCCCCATTACCACCAATATGAAATGAAAAAGGTAGGAAATGCCTCCAGGAGTTAGATCTGTGTTCAGCAGATTGTAAAACGTATTTATAGTTCCATATTTTAGGAGATGTTTTCCTTAATTCACTGGCCATTCACTGCCTGTTCTTTGGAAACCCAAATCAAAATAAACGGCAATCCTCCTCCAATTGTTATGGTTTCTCATTCACTTCATCTGGAGTGATGTATCCTCTATTATTAAAATGTACATTAAAAAAATTTCCATACTATTGGTTATAATTTGGTTGCTTTAATATGCAATCCCTGGGACTCAGAGTCTGTGCATGTGAACCAAGTAAGGGGTTGGGGCAGCAAAGCTTTCAGCAACGTGGAATACCAACCCAATACATGATATACGCGATGTAATATTATCAGCAAACACTAGCCCAGACTGCAGCACAAAATCACAGTGACAACTCTGCACTCTCAGGTGAATTACTGAAAATGAGTATGTCATTTTTATATCATGAGTATACCAAACCTACATCTAGAGAGGATTGCACTTCAGAATTTAAAAATCTGAGTAGCACAGAATCATGCAAAATATGGAACAGATCTTTATTTGCAACTGTAAATGCTATAATATTATACCATAACATGCTGTACTCTAAAGAATTCTGGAACATTAAATGCTGGTCGCATTACTATACTAGAAAAGGGAAAAAACCAAATTGTCACTATGGAACTCAGTCCTTTTGATTTAAAAAGAAGAAGAAGAAAAAGATATGACTGTTAAACTTGATGAGTCAGTGAGTCTGATTCATCTTGGACTGTGCAAGCTAGAAGTAAGACACACCCACAGGACATTCACTGATGCCCACCCACACACCACAGATCTCTGCCCAGTGCAAGGACTCTGATCGTACCTTTTTCAGCCTCAATAGCCTCAACTGTGGCTGTACAGAAGTGAGCAGAGGCATGCAAAATGAATGAGAGAGATGAGAAGGGTCATATCGTACAGCAGAAAAGGCAATGATTACTTAAAATATAACAGTACCCCATACTACATTATCATTTACAATTTAACATATATAGTACCCGTATTAGAGAGCCCCATCCAATCCCCCAATTCCTGACACAGCACAGTTTACACACAGCACTAAGACACCATCGCTCAGAGCACAGAACACATAGACCTATTGTAAACACAGACACCTCAGCATCCATGCAAATGCACACTAGTATTAATTACCCATCTTGAATTCAGTATTTTGATGACGTTAGAATTTTCCAACATGTTTATTATGTCACATCCATCACAATCACAAGGAAATTCTCTAGAGTGAAATTATGATGGTAGAATTGCAGTAGAGCAAACAGAATGAGATTCTTTTCTTTCATGTCTAACTTATCACCAGTTGGTCCCCTAAGATACAAACTAGAAGGGGTCAGCAATGCTTTTCCTGTCACTTCTAATTCATAGGGCAAAGCATAAGCTGCAAAAGTTGGTATGGCTACAATGAAATTTATGGTCAGTAAACTTGGTGAATTACTCTAATTAGAACAGTTCCATAGTGCTGTCCTCTGTGGGTAATCTAAAAGGACTCCTCTTATCTACTAGAAACGTCCTTTCTATTATAACTGGTGTTCCAAATATCTAAAGATATCTAAAGATATCAACATGTAACATATATAAAAATCCATTTATGTTCAGTGTATCACGAACTCAAATCTACCTCAGTTACTAACAGCCTCAAGTGACAATAAGAAGGCTACTGAGCATGTTTTCGAGCCCATCTACCAACTAGAGAGGAATCAAGAGATAGAACTGAGGTCTTACAGGCAATAAATCCTGTTCATTTCATGATATGGACATACATATAGGTCATATAAATGAGAAATACATTCTTGGTATAGCTTGTCTCTGGCCCATTTAGAGAATTGCAACATATTTAGTCATACATATTTTTGTAGTCAAAGATTCTTTTGGTTCATTTCTGGGTTCAAACTGTATAAAGCACTCACACTGAGGACCAGGACCAAAGATTGCAGAGGACATTATTGCCTGATAATACTGCCAAGTCTCAATTCTTACTTTACCCAAAGTGCACAAATTCATACTATTGATAATGTTCCATCCCTTCTACTTTGCTTCTTCAATGATAAGGCCAATTAGAATAATTATTCCTAAAATGAACTTTTAGCAGTACACATGATTTAGAAATAATAAAATTTATCCAAAGCAGTTATTAATGTGAAAGGACACTGATGAATCTAAGGAATTAAAGAAGGCTAAATTAGATGTTTGTAATCTCAATCAGATAGTAAAGTGGGGACCCCCAAAAAAGGAGCATAAACACTGAATAAAGGAAGAATTAATTTTTCTCAACTGTTAAATCATATTACAAATTAAAGCAGATATACTTATTGTATACCCACTGTACTTATTTAAATCACCATTTAAAAAATCTAGCCCTGTACACTTGGAAAATACTCTTGGAATTTGTCCAGACAGAAAACTGGGATAAATGACCCACCTCTACTGGATCAGCCCTGGAATTCCTATTCTTCAAAACATGGACTATTTTCTTTATAATTTAGAAATTAAATAGGGAAAAATAAAATGCCTATCAGAATCTATGTTTTAAAGAGCTTGTGGTAACAGAAGTGATTTTATATGAGATATTTCATAATTTGTATTTTATATATAGTAATAAATTAAAAATAAAAAACTGATTATCACTGTAAGAATTAGTATCTATTTTAGTATGTCAATAGTTTTAAAGTCTATAAAAATTTTTTTCAAATTATGAAAATGACAATACACTTCTGGGGGCTTTTAATTTTATATGCATTTTCTAGGTCAATTTATATTCTCTGCTCTTTCCCAAGGCCTCTAAATGCTCCTAAATGCTTTTTAGGACACAAAATGTACATCACACTCAAAATTGCATACCATGTTAAGTTTGAATGCTTAGAATTCAAAGAAGATCATTTGAAGCTTACATATTAAGCTGGAAAGAAAGAGATCTGATAATTGCAAAATTCTATCTGAAAAGCACTATTTTTCCTCAATTTTTTTCAGTTTTATGGGGCATCTTGACATGACCTTACTAAGTTTGAGTGTAATGCTGTTTCAAACTGTGTTCCTCAATACTACGCAGGATAAGTGATCAAGAGGAATTGACCTTACTATAATATAGATGGCCACATATTTTCTCATATAGGTCCTCATGAAGGTAGCATTATAACGGCTAGCTCCCAATCAAACTTCCAAGAAGAAAATGCACATAAAATATGATTATCAAATCCTACTCCAACAGAGTTATGCAGTTTGTAAAAACACTTGAGAAATATCATAAATTAACTGTAAAGTTATTGATGAGACAATTTCTATTTTCTGACAATAGGACGGAGGTCTTAGAATTTTATAACTTTCTTTTTGCAATACTTAGCTCTCAGGTATTCACGTCAGGGGTCATGTCTACTAAAATTTTAAATGTTACATAAATTTTTAAAAATCACATGGGTGATCATACTTCTGTATGAGTTTTGTTATTTGTTTCAAAATGGGTTTGTCTTATGATAGAGAAATCACTTCAACCAAATGTAAACCACACGATCAAGATCCATTGCTGGCAGAGCTAGGGAGCTATCTAGTTTCCCAAATCGGACCCCTTAAGCTCAGCACCATCCAGTAACTCACTCTACGCCGGGAATAGACAGTCCCTTCAGTAAAGCTGTCTTTCAATCCTTCCCTGCAGTTGGGGGTGATTTCAAAGTTGGAAGACTGAGCTTCAGGCTGCATGCAAATTAAGAATAAATAGATGTGCTGAGCTCTCAACAAAGCATGTAATTAGCAGGCACTAATTGCAAAATCTGAAAGAAAGGTTCGCTGTGGATACAACATAAAAGTAACAAAATATCCAAGGATAACTGAGAGATGACCGTAGTTTAGATTTACTTAAGTGTGAGACCCTTTAGGTTTTCTTTTCCTTTTCTGAACAAACAGGAGGAAGGATATGGCATTTTTCAAGTTATTAAAATTCATCCTTTTCTATTAACATTCTTGCTAGTTTTATTGAATGTTTAAGGTCTTCTTAATTTGTTTTAATGAAATTATTTTTTGCTCATTTTCCTAATGTTTACAAGATAATAAGAAAAATGAAGGGCAAGAAATATAAAGAAAATCAGAGCAGATTTTTTTTAAATCAATAAAAGAAACCTCATTCAAAATGAAAATTTAAAGATATAATTTCAAAACATACTTATATATCTCACATATACCAGTAGTGGTAGCAGACAACACAATAACATATAAATAGAACATGTATAGGCTACAAGTAGAAATTATTTATCTACAGAAAAATTCTTTTTATTTATTTAAGCATTTATTATGAGACCGAGTGAAATGAAATTGTGAAAAGTCAATCTAATTTAAATTTATTCAAAATTTAAAATTAAAATTTCCTATTTTTTTGCCTTAAAAATTTGACTAATTACAACACCAAACATGACTGAGAAGACATCAGATCTGTTGCTTCCTGTTTTAATACAACAATGACCCTTGGAGGGCTGTCAAAAGTGACTACAATAAAACATAAATTAAGGCTTTACATATCACATTTTCTGCTTTCCAACCACAAGGGAAAGAAATCTAGACTTTCAGTTATTGGGTATAGTCTATAACATTCACATCACTTTCTTCTATTTAATCTGTAATGGGCTTTCAAAAAGTTAACCCAGTATTTACACAAATACTTACTCCAAAAAAACTTAAGATTTTTTTTTAAATATAAAATATTCAATGAGCCAGATTACAGGAATGCTTTACGTATAATTCTTTTTATTTTCATGCAAAATAAAGGCACACTTAATAACACCCTTTCAATTTTGACTTACAGGATTTAAATTCCACCCCTTATAACAATGACTTAATATCTAACGTTACATTCATGTTGAGAATGCACAAAGTACAGCAACAATGCAGCAAACCTCAAAACAAGGTGCTACAAAGTTGCTTCTACATCAAGACAGACAAGTGTCTGATAGAGTAATTTAACTTAACATACTTTTACAGACATACAGCTAACCTAAAGAGAGACAGACAGATTTAGGAAAGCAGCTACATCTGCAGAGGAAGGAAACAGCGTGTTACAGACAGTCAATTATACATAGAACATTTGACAAACACCACAGAAAACAAACTTTGGCATCATTTACCAGGGTACAAAACCTTGCACAAATGTTTTGGCAAGTGAAGTGCATAAGTAATGTTCTGGGGCTCAAGCAGATTGTTAATTCTAAAATTAACATCTGAAAATGTAAGCACAGTCTAATACAATTACATAAATTAGAAAGATAAAAAAATAAGAAACTTGGAATTACATTTCCATTTAAGTAATATGGATATCCTTGATTCACATTCTGAAACTGAAGCTTTAAAAAGAAAATGGTGCATTAGACAAACGAATAAATAATTTCAGACATTATGATATGAGTTATTCCCATATCATTTCATGAAAAGCTGAGAGACCGATCATTATTTTCAATTGAAAGGAATACCCATTTTATCATTTTCTGGCCTGGTCAGGTTATTAATCAGACACTACCTATCATATAGTATTCTGCTTGTATCAGCTGCTGAGACAAGAACTAAAAAGCAGAAAGAAATCCCTGCATGCATTATGTGTATTGTTAGCAAAAGAGTGAGGTGTGCCCCAGTCCATGTGAGGCACAGCAAGTTGCATAACATCATTACCACTTTGCAGGGTCTGCCGTCCTCCAGCTAACACTCCACTAGGCAACATCCCTGTGGGAGTCAGGCCCTTGAGTGTCAGCACACTTTCACTCTCCTCCCTATAGCAGAGAGATATAACAAAGATCAGAGACTTCCAACAAGTACTTAGGTTAAAAGAGGGGATGGGGCCCAGATGCAGGCCATGTATGTAACTTATGACATTCATTGCTATTACCATATTTTCCTCAATTCCAAGATATACATTTTTCCACGTTCTAAATGTTTCAGATATGAGGGTATGCCGTACAACTGAGACATATATTGTTCTTCCTGAAAAGCTTTATTAAATATGTGGTGAGATTCATCACCAATGGGTATCATAATATTGATAAAATATGGTATTTCATGTCTGATATAAGCAGTTTTGCAAACAAATTTTTAAGGACTAACCCATTCATGTGCACCCTTAAACCTGGTCTTCCTGAATTAACCCCAGGAAGACAATTTGTGACTCCAGCAAAAAGGACTTCCTTTATAGATGAGCAAGTTCATCAGTCTAAAATGTGCCCCCTCCTCCTTATTATGCTCTAATTTTAAGGTGTAGATCTAATACTTTCATCACAGAAGGACAAGAGATGCCAAAGGTGAACAATAATAATCACAAGGGTCAAAAATACTAGTTTCAAAGGGACCTGTGTTCCCCTCTTCAACATGTAAGTATACAACTTCTTTATAGAAAGAATGCTACTATATTGCTTTTAGATATCAAACAGGACACCGCTTATAATAAAGTATAATAAAAGTGATTTCTGTAAAACAAATCATTGGGAAAATATATCATTACCTGAGAACAGAGAAGACCCTTGCCATCTTGCCAATTGCTCGAATTTTGTTTCTTATGATTTCTTTCCGGGCTGCAGCTGAACCTACTTTCAATGGAATAAATAGAAAGAAAGACTCAAGTTTAGGGCATCCATACTTGTACCATTCTATTAGCCTGCTTCACTCTCATCTGAACCAACACCAAGCCCCTCGCCACCAGCTCACATGGAAGAAACTAGATGAACTCATGCCAAAAAGCTTCTCTTTCAATGTTTAGCTCAGCACTGATCTAATACTGGGATCTGACACAGATACAACTGAAAAGTAATCAGCCAACTTTATCACTCTCACACTACTGACTAACCAGTAAAACAGCAATGGGAAAGAAACTAGAGTCCAACCTGTATCACAAGCCAGAGGACAAAAAAATGGTAACAATTCTACAGTCATTGTTTAATTCTCATGAGAGCCTATGGCATGCAGACTAACAGACTAGAACTGGTCATAACCTTTAGACTTCTGTTTGATTATCATAAAAGCCTTTGACATGCAGGCTGGAAATATCCCATCATACTATGACAAAAGAAGCTTCCTTGCTCAAAGTTGGTCCGAAAACAGTGATATGAAGCGACTACTGGGCAGGTGACCCAGAACGAGGGACCATAGCAGCATTTCAACAATGTACATCTCAACCTCATGGACTAAGTGTCCTCTAAGGTCATGCAAATATATACAAGCTTTTACATCCCTAGGTGAGTATGACACAAGGAGAGTGAGCAATGAGAAAAGACTCCCCCAAAAACATGGCTAAAGAATCACTAATGCTTCATCTCGAAATGGTTAGCTGCACTGCCTATCACTGATACAGAAGAGAATATATCAAAATAACTGAATCTTTGCCTGAATAAAGACTCAGAGGTTGTTATCTTCCTTCCCTTGGCCTCCAGAAAGAACAACAACAATCTCAGTCCTGTTATCTCATATACAGCAACTAGAATCACTCTGGACCCAAGAGTGTGGTTCCTTAGAACTGTGCTTCAACATGATGAAAACAAACATATGGAAGCACCGTGGTTGAGGAGAAGGTTAAGGAAAGGCTAAAGACACTAGACCAAAAGGGGCCTTAGGTACACAGAGGTCTGAACAACCAAAAGTCTTTTGGGCTAGAGCATCTTATTTAAAATTCAAGCATCTTATTTAAAATATAATTAAAAACTAAGATGATGACTGGACCTTACTGCAAGGAAACAGAAAAAGAGATCCAATTTCAAAGATGAAAACAAAAGACATATTTTAGAGAAAATAGGCTCCACAACCATGTTTATGATGCTCTAAGTGTAATATTATGAGTGCTGAAGCTATAGCTTTTACAAATCCAAAACTGTGTAGGTCCATGGTACTACACAGGTATTTCTAAGATGCCAAAAAAATTACTTAAAATCTCAAAATCATAGAATATTGGAATCTGAAGACATTAGAGATACTGCAAAGTTCAATTTCCTCATTTTATAGACAAAGAAACTAACTTTACTAAGTGTCTTGTCCAAGGACATAGGGTAAGTCTGATTCTCTTCAAATAAATTAATATATTTTGTTTTAAAATTGACAGAATTTTTGAAATAGCCAGACTGGGGGAGAGGAGTACAGAGATGGGGGAGGATGGCTGTAATGAGATACATTCACATTTTCAGCCTTAATTTATATATCTATAAAACTGAATGATATGTAAACTATACTGATTTCAAATTAAAAATTCACTGGAATATAAAAACACTTTACAAATCAGGATTTTAAATCAGTCTACAAACACATCATGCATAATATTAAAGTAAATGTCCACAGTAAAATTACTTTGGGGAATCAGACAGACAATCAAACACCCCTAGTCATGCAGGGAAAAGTACAAAACATTACAAATAAGCAAAAGAATGAAATTTTAAAACAAGAGGAATGAAAAAGAGGGAAAAATATTTCCATGCACAGAAAGACAGATATCTTGGAATATGACTTCTAAAAACATCAAATTCTAACTTAGATAAAACTTAAACTAAATTTGCACAAGGCCCAAGAGGACTCTACATAAGTATACTTAATGAATACACAAACTTACATGGACATGAGAATAACTTATGAAGTCATATTTCAAAACAATGTTACTCTGTCTGGTCTGTACCTTTTTTATTGCCATATATGAGCCGTTCTTCAGATGGAGAGTCCAGAAAAAAGGAAGTGAATGATGGAGAAAAGGTGGTTGAGACAAATAAAAAGATAGAGATTTAACTTGGCAGTGGTACTGAAGAATGAATGTAGAAAGAAAGGGAGAAAAATGAAGGTCCTCATATTTGAAATTTGAAAAATGTAGTACTGTAAGATCTGGCAAATAAAGGAGGGATGCCACTGGGTAGAGCTCTAAAGGAAAGATTTCTTAAAAGATATGTGTTCAGAAGAAATTATGGACAGAATGACTATAATATTTGATGAAAGTAGACAAATTAGGGACAGAAAAAAACACGTGAAAACACATAAGACTGATAAAAGACTGTGCTAACAACAATCGCACATTTATATTAATACCCTTAAGGAAATGTGTCACCCATGGAAGTATGTTAAGTGAAAGGTAATGACACAAATGAGATACAAACTCATGTGGTTCTTCAAGGACACCAACATCTGCAAAATCTGTAGCATACACAGAGAAATGTAGGTAACTTTATAAACTACCTCAGTGGAAAACCTTACCCACTCCCAATAAAGGAAAGGCTAAGCCTCCCACACTCCATAATAACAAGAGCACACAATTTCTTGAATCAGAATTGTGGAACTTTTGCACATACTCAGGATCAACAGTATGTGCTGTCTGTTCCCAGTCCAATCTGGGAGTTTTAGGGACATCTTTTTGCACAAATAGCAACAGATTGTTTCAAAGCAAGTAATAGCTCTTAGAGTAGGCAGCATAGATGTCTCATTTGAGCTTTCCATTCTAATGCTGAGATACATGATTCCATTATAGGAAATGCAAAGTTTTAGTTTAGTAAAACTATAACACATATGGATTATGTATTTCCTTTACCAAACTCAAGACAAAAGATAAATAACTGAAAGAAACAGTATGCATTCTAAATATCATAGAAATCAGTGTTCAGAAATTCCCTTTAATGATTACATAACACCTCTAAAAGGAACACTATGTGCATTTACACATGCAATATGTTAATGCAAATTTTTGCCTTTAAAAATAAACCCACATGGACATTAAACAATACAGAATACCAAAGGCCATCACTTAAGAAGAAAGAGAGTCTTATTCCTTTAGCCAATTTCAGCCTTGAATATGCAAAATCTACTCTTTCCTTCCTCCCAGTGGGAAATGTCCAATCCTGTTCTTTCCCTTCCCCCACAGAAAAGCTAAACCCTTATTGTGTCTCCACAGCAATCCCCAACCCAACAAGTTTTCTTTCTAAGTCAGATTTCTTCCCAGGCCCAGTCCATAACATGGTTCCACTGCTGAGTAGGAAAAGGGGAAGGAGAGGAGAGAAGGTATGCTATCATGCTCAAAGGAAAGAAGAAAAGACAGGGTTAAGGGGAAGAAATAAGGGAATATGTGTAAGAAAGGGAAACAAATGTAGTTCTAGTAGCTCTTTTCCCTATCCCATCCTAGTATCTATCCTAAACTCCTCCCCTTTCCTCCATTCCTCAAGGTTCTTTCTCCCCCAAGCCACTCTCATTACTTGATGCAAACTCCCATACCTATATTCAAAAAATTTTCTTGGGCTTCCCTGGTGGCTCAGTGGTCGAGAGTCCGTCTGCCGATGCAGGGGACATGGGTTCGTGCCCCGGTCCAGGAAGATCCCACATGCCGCGGAGAGGCTGGGCCCATGAGCCATGGCCACTGAGCCTGCGCGTCCGGAGCCTGTGCTCCGCAACGGGAGAGGCCACAACAGTGAGAGGTCCGCGTACCGCAAAAAAAAAAAAAAAAAAAAATTTCTTGGCGTCCCTGCTCTTAATACTTGGTAGTGTAAGGGTGAATAAATGTGGAGTAATTGCACCTGCCATGTTGGCAGTGAAGGGAGATCTATTTCTAGTATTCAAAGATGGAACTCAGTGTATTTTCCCGTAGAAACATTGTCATAATTTTTTAAATTACTTAAAGAGTGGGAAAGAATTTTCATCCTCTCTATTCCCTCAATCTATGGAAGAGAAGATTTTGAGAAGTTGGGTGACTTTCCCAAGATTACACAGCTAGTATAATGGTAGCACCAAGACACCTGAACCACTGATCCTTTTCACTAAACTACAGTGCCTCTTTAATGATCAAATTTGATTCATCTCTGGAGTGTAAGAATGATATAACAAGTTGATAAATAAGCATAATTTATCATTAATAGGAAAAATGTTGATAAAATACATAAAATCTCATTAGAAGGAATATAATAAAATTTTATATTTACTTCTGGTTGAATTCCCAAAAATGATTCAGTATCTATCTTCTTATAAATCATCAGTATCTAAACCAAGTACTATATTAGACTTAACAAGGAAACTTTTTTCCCTTTTTACTATGGAAAGAGGACTAAAGCATCACCTATCACTACTTCTATTTAACACTATTAACAATACTGATACAATTTTTTTTTTTTTCGGTATGCGGGCCTCTCTCACGTTGTGGCCTCTCCTGTTGCGGAACACAGGCTCCGGACGCTCAGGCTCAGCAGCCATGGCTCACGGGCCCAGCCGCTCCGCGGCATGTGGGATCTTCCTGGACCGGGGCACGAACCCGTGTCCCCTGCATCAGCAGGCGGACTCTTGACCACTGCATCACCAGGGAAGCCCAGATACAAAATTTTTGAAGAAAAAGAAATAAAAGGTAAAAATGTAGAAAATAAACAATATCAGCCTTATGCAAATGACATATTTTTTAAAGTGAAGGAAAACAAAAATTACCGTAGGAAGTAATTCTGCTGATCCAACTTGTTGAACATAAGATAAACCCACAAACATATAATTCCTTTATACAGTCAGAAAATATAAGAGAGATACCAGTTGCAATAGTAATAAGAACATAAAACACTGAAATATTAATTTAACTTGGTAATAACAGATTTTTCCCAAAGAAAAACTATATAATTTTAAATAATTATATATTAAATATATTAAAAGGAGTAATTATAGTAAATGAACTAATTATATAGAGCAAGAGATTTTGATCTTAGTTTAGAAAATTAAATATTATTTTTTAAAAACTTCCTAGATTAAGATATAGATTTAATGTAACACCAATTAAAACTCCTACTAGATAGTTCACAGAATTTGACAAATTAACAGAAAACTCTATTGAAAAAATTAGTGGAACATGTACAAAAATGATTTCATTATATTATTGATCATTACATCAGTACCTATAACATTATGAAGTAGGAACTATTATCTTCATTTTGAAGATAAAAAAACTGAGGCTCAGAAAGGTTAAGTAACTTGCCCGAGGTCACATAGCCATTATGAGGAACTAGAATCTGAACCCAGAACTAGTCTTACAACAGTGATTGCAGAACATGGAAAATAAATATTTAGTTAAAACTATTTAAAAATTTTATGGAAAAGACAGATATGATGAAATATGTTAGAACTAAAAGCGTCTACAAAATATCATAGAGAATTAAAATAAGGAAAAATTAATATTATTCATTGAATCTTATTATCCAAACAAAAAAAGAACTGATATAATTTATTTCAATGAACAAAACTATAAACCAGAGTAAAAGCACATCCCTGCCTGCCACCAACAGATGGCACTAGCAGACACTTGTATATAGTCACTTTGTGCTTTCAACAAATGGACTTAAAATTGTGGTTAAGAATCAAACCTGTTGGTAAGTAGAGAAATTTCTAAACAGTTTTTACTCAGATTTTACTTGTTAAATGGTCACTTGATAGGGACAGTTTACATAGTTGGGAAAGCAGATAGTAATTTCTCCCTTAGCATCATGAGAATTCAAAGAAATGTAAATTAAACCAACTGTAATTTATAGCCACCAAGCAAAATAAGTAAAAACAACCAAAACCCAATTAGGTGGGCCTGTGAAGAAATACAGGTCTATAGATTCATTGCTAGAAACACTTCATATTGGTCCAATTTTTATGCAAAGTAATCTGGCAGTTCATAGCTAAAATAATGAAGCTAAAACTCTTCATTCTCTTTAACTCTGTAATTCTCTTCAAGAAATTTATTCCAAGAAGGAAAATTAAAACTATTGTATGAATGTTTATTGCATGCTATTCATAATAAAGATAATTTAAAGCAACCCAAATGCCAAACAATATAATACTAACTACAAAGATTATGGTATATTGATATACTTAGAAATATGTAGGTATCGAATTTTACCAATATGTAGACCATGTTTAATACATGGAAACATTTATATGCGAATTAAAACTATGAAAAGTATGCTGCAACAAAGATGTGAGGGGCATATGGAAGGGAATAAAGAGTTTTCAGCTTACAAACTGTTTATGTTTTTGTTCATTCAGTTAATTAATATAAATATTTAAATTTAAGTTCTAAATAAAAACTTCAGAACATAAAAATAAAAGTAATTTTGTTTCTATTGTATTAGTTTATACTATAAATGTGCATTAGGTACATAGGCTGGTTGGCTTACATAAGAACTAACAACCATGTATAACTTTGTATGGAAAAAATGCTTGTTGAATTTTAAACTAAACTAACAAGTGGTCTCTTAGAACATAACCACTCATAAATTGAGAACAGCTTACTTTGAGTTTTCAAAGGAAGAAGTGACAACGGCATTGGGTATTCAGGTATGTTTCTGATGCACTAAGAATACAGTACCAAGGAAAAAAAAGCATTTTTATCCTCCCTTCTCTAAGTAGTGTCCATATTCATGAAGAACCACATTCTATTAGCACTTCAATTTTCCTTTCCTTCTGTTCTTTCTTCCAGATTTCCCCTTTCCCTAAATTCATTTTCTTCCCCATACCAACAGAAAAAAAAAATTACTAAAATGATTTTAAAATCTTAAAATAAATAATATCTGAAAAACTGACTTGTCACTTATCAAATAGCATAGCCATTTGAGAGCAATGACTATATTTTACAAGAGTATATTAAAGCTGGGCAGTTACAAGATTCTATTTCACAATAAAAAACAGTAAAATGAATAGTCATACCATCAAACTGGTCTTCTCCTTCAGTCATAAGTTCATCATCAGAGCAAATACTCAGAACATTTACCAACATTTCTGTCACTATTAAAAAAAAAAGTTACACATTAGTTTATCATATTCAACTATCTATATGTATACAGGGCAACTATTTATACAAATGATCCAAGAAGACGAACATATTCTGATAGCAGAAATGACGGAATTAAAAGCTATGAGGGCTTTTAAAATGAAAGAAATTAAGTGGCTAACGAGCCTGAGAGATTCTTTATGGAATAAGTTTTCAGGTCTCTCAGGAAAAAAAAAAAATGAAGCCCCCACAGGGCTAAGAACAGGGATGAATAACATCTAAATACATACATTTAAATTCTTCATTTATGGATACAGCATTAAGGAGTAAGAAAGGGACCTCCCTGGTGGTCCAGCGGTTAAGACTCCGTGCTCCCAATGCAGGGGGCCTGGGTTCGATCCCCAGTCAGGGAACTAGATCCCGCATGCTGCAACTAAGACCCGGCACGGCCAAGTAAATAAATACATATTTAAAAAAAAAAAAAAAAAGGAGTAAGAAAAAACCATGGCACAGTTCCACTGTTTCAAAAAGTTTCAGGATTCAATCTTTTAAAAACTGGCTCCAGCAATTCCCCTGAAACTTAATTCCTAAGACTACTAATGACTATCTAACAACTGGAACCCATGGTTCTTTCTTAGGTTTAATTCTCCTTCACCGTTCTATATATTTTTTTGCCTTCTCTTTTCCCTTGGTTTCCAGGATTCTACTCTTCTGTTTTTTCTACCTTTCAGACTATTTTTCCCACAAATTTGGACATTCTCAAGATTCTCTCTGCAGTCCTGTTGTTTTTATATGTTCAATCTCTTGGTGATTCCATCCATTATTATATATTTTCAACTACCACCTTTTGAAGATGATTCCAAACTCTTTATTGCCAGTCTCGACCTCTCCTTCAATCTCTAGATTTCCCTGCTGGTTTTACTGCCAACTGTCTCAGACTATTTGTATATCGTCTGTTTCCCCTACTAAAATGAAAGCTTCATGAGTGCAGGGTGCTGTTCTGTTTACTACTGCATCCCCAGAGCCTGGTACTATGCCAGGCACATGAGAGGCATACAGTAAATATTTGACAAATGAGTAAATAAAAAAATTAAAGGTATAAGCAAATTTCAATTAATCATAAAAACGCCTATTGAATATTAGCCCCTGGATGTCCTGATGGCACCTTGAAATGAACACATTCAAACAAAATTCAATACTGCCCCTATTATTTCCCCTATAGTATATTAATAGCACACCACATGTCAGGCACTGTGCTCAAGTTCTGGGATTCAGATATAAAAGGTCCAGTCTCTACCCTGTAAAAGCTTACTAACTACTAAGGATAAATAGTTATATATATACATATTATATCACAAAAAAGTGATGAGCACTATGCTGAAAGTACGCAGAGTTATGCACAAGATCTGCTGAAGAAAAGAAGGCTTTTGGGACTTCCCTGGTGGAGCAGCAGTTAAGAATCCGTCTGCCAATGCAGGGGACACAATTTTGATCCCTGGTCCAGGAAGATCCCACATGTCACAGAGCAATTAAGCCTGTGTGCCACAACTACTGAGCCTGCACTCTAGAGCCTGCAAGCCACAACTACTGAGCCCGCATGCCATGACTACTGAAGCTCACGCACCTAGAGCCCGTGCTGTGCAACAAGAGAAACCACCACAATGAGAAGCCCGCACACCGCAACGAAGAGTAGCCCTCGCTCACTGCAACCAGAGAAAGCCCACGTGCAGCAATGAAGACCCAACGCAGCCAAAAATAAATAAATAAATTTATTTAAAAAAAACAAAAGAAGGCTTTTGGTAGAGGAATCATGAAGTAGAAATTTGCCAGGTGGAGAGGGTAGATAAAGCACTCTAAACAGAAGTTAGAAAAACTATGAAGAAGTCATATAGATCAGTGGAATAAAATTGAGTCCAGAAATAAAACCTCACATTTAAGGTCAACTGATTTTCAACAAGGGTGCCAAAACAGTTCACTGGGGAAAGAATAGTCTTTTCAACAAATGGTGCTAGGACAACTGGATATCCACATACAAAAGAATGAAGTTGGACCCCCACTTCACACCACACACACACACACACACACACACACACACACACTAAGTCAAAAAGGATCAAAGACCTAAAAGTAAGAGCTAAAACTATAAAGTTTTTAGAAGAAAACATAGGAGTAAATCTTCATGAGCTTGGCAATGGTTTCTTAAATGTGACACCAAAGCACAAGCAACAAAAGAAAAAATAAAGAGGACTTCATCAAAATTAAAAACTCTTGTGCTTCAAAGAATATCACCAAGAAAGTGAAAAGACAATGTCACAGAACAGGAGAAAACATTTGCAAATCGTATATCTGATAAGGGACTTGCCTCTATAATATACAAATAACTCTTACAACTCAATAGTAAAAAGACAAATAATCCTTTTAAAAATGAATCCATTTAGAAATAAACATTTCTTCAAATAAGATATGCAAATGTCGAATAAGCACATAAAAATATACTCAACATCATTATTCATTAGGGAAATGAGATACAATTTCATATCCAATATGATGGCTATAATAAAAAAAGATACATAATAACAAGTGTTGGTGAGGATATGGAAAAACTGGAAACATTATACACTGCTGGTAGGATTGTAAAATGGTATAGCTCCTTTGGAAAACAGTTTGACAGATCCTCAAAAGGTTAAACATAGAGTTATATGACCCAGCAATGCTTACTCCCAGTTACATACCTAAGAAAAATGAAACCATATTGTACAGGAATGTTCATCGCAGCATTATTCACAGTAGTCAAAAAGTGGAAACAACCAAATGTCCATGAGCTGATGAACGGATAAATAAAATGTATATCCACACAATAGAATATTATTTGATCATAAAAAGGAATAACGTACTGATTCATGCTACAACATGGATAAACCTTGAAAACATTATGGAAAGAAGCCAGTCACAAAAGACTACATATTGCATGATTCCATTTACATGAAATACCCAGAATAGGAAAATCTATGGAAATAGTTGAGTAGATTAGTGGTTGCACAGGGCTGGAAAGAAGATGTGGGGGGAACTGGGGAGTGAATGCTAATGGACACAAGGTTTCTTTGGGAGGATGGTGAAAATGTTTCAAAACTGATTGTGGTGACAGATGCACATCTCTGAATATACTAAAAACCACTGAATTACACAGTGTAAATAGGTTAAGTGTATGGTATTTGAATTATACCTCACTAAAGCTGTTATGAAAAAATAAAGAAAAAGTAAGAAGGCATGAAACTTAAACAGCATATAGTACATTAAGGAAGTTGGCTGGGCTGTTTCATACCTGGAACATAGAGAACGTGAAAGAAAAAGACAAAAAGTGAGGCTGAAGAGAAAGTAGGGAAGGTCCACATGTGACAGGCTAAGGTTTATCCTGAAAGTTACCAGAGTCATTTATGGATACTAAATAGTAGCTTTTAAGTGTGTAGTGCTTTCCATCTAGAAGCTTAGCTGTGAAGGAAAGGCAAGAGAATCATAGCACAGTAGTAGTCAATGAAAGATATCAGAAAAAGGAAATGTTATTTATTTTTTATTTAAAGATCACATAGATTTGAACAATTTACAAAAGAGCTTAGAAGAGAGAGTTTGAAGATATAGAAGATGTAAATAATACAGTAACTTTCCTGAAAAAGCAGAAGGGTAATGAAATATAAGGACAAGTTAGAAAGGCTAGCCCTGGATAGAAGGGTCACATCTTCAGCAGGATAAGAATTCAAGATGAGTGCAGTTTATTGGGAATTCCCTGGTAGTCCATTGGTTAGGACTCCACACTTTCACTGTCAAGGGTCCGGGTTCAATCCCTGGTTGGGGAACTAAGATCCCTGCAAGCGGTGTGGCATGGACAAAAAAAAAAAGACTGCAATTTATAAAGCAGGGGAACAGTCAGTACAGAAAGCTCCCATTAATGGTACGTGTTCTCTCTGAGAGTAACGGAAGTGGCTAGAAAAAGAAAATGTTTAAGTAAAAAAGATAAAATTTTAGAATATATCCTAACGGAAATGAGTGAGGAAGCAGACTAGTGATATAAAGGATGTTTGGGTACTACTGAGAGCCTAGCTAATGCTAGAAATCAAAGGGTGGTACCAAATCATAAGGCTGTATAAATATCTCCAACAGTGCTTTATATGTTGACTGTAAGAATGGAAAAAATGGATAGTTAGACTTTACTGGGGCTAACATTTATAGAACAAAGTAGAAAAACGAGAGAAAGGAGTTTGGAGGTGTGTTAAGAAGAAAGAGAGGCAAGGGGGGATCTGACTAAAAAAGAAAACAACACGTTCAAAGGCCTAGCAATCCCAATGAAGATGAAGAGAAGCTATAACTGAAGTAAGCGGTTGCTAGAATAACAGAAGTTTCATCAGAGTGTGTTAATAGCACTATCATTACCAGACTCAACACATCCAAGCCATTTTCAACCATTCCCTCCTCTTAAACATGCAATCTTGTTAAGTCTCACTGATTCTTTTACAGTTCTTGCAGTTCTCCCATGCTCTCCATTCCTAATGCTAACAGGGTTTCATTATGTTTCCATTTTGACTCCCGATGAAGCTTCACAACAGGTCTCCCAATCTCTAGTCTTCCTTGCAGTTCACTTCACCAGAGTAATTTTTCTAAATGACTATCATGATTATATTCTGTTGCAGTTGCTTCTCACCATTTATCAAAGTTCCAGATTCTCTGTTTAAGTGATCAAGATCCTCCTGATCTAACCCTGACTTAACTTTTCATTCTTTTTCTACTACTGTCCTTCATACATCTTACTTGCTAATCTAATTGAACCCCTCAACATTTGTCAGTGACGTTATGCTTTCTTCCTTTCAGACTCAGGATTGGGAAGTTCTCTCACCTAGAATTCTCTTGCCCAGATCTACCAGCACAATTCCACCATTCTTTAAGCCCCAGTTCAAATGCTACTTTAATCCCTCTGACAGATATAATCTCCTCTCTCTTGTTAATTCCTATAAAACTATGCTTGTCTTGGAGCGCTTACCATATTACATTTTATCATTACTTATGTATCTTTAGTCCCCTATTAATCTGCAGAGATCCAATATCTTACTTGTATTTGTGTATCCTTAGTACCTTGAATAAAACAGACTTTCCAAAAAAATCTAGCAAATGAACAAATCCTACATGTATGACCTTCTACAGAAGATCACACTATGCTGGAATCTCTGAAACAGAGGTTCTTAAATTGGGGCCAATAAGCCTGAGTGGGGTTACCAATCCACTTCAGATCTGTAAACATCCTCAAAATGTTACATACGTACAGATGGTACATATATTTCGTACATGAAATTTTCTGGAGGAAAAGTCTGTAACTTTCACGAGATTCTCAAAAGGGTTTTGTATTAAGAAATTAATAAATGTATTTGTGTACTTTAATTTTTTTAAGAGTCCTTATCTTTGAGATTCATTTTAAAATATTTATAGATACAAAAAATAACAGCTGAGATTTGATTCAAAATAATTGAGGTGTGGCATGGGAAGTAGTGGATGGCGATATAAATGACACAGTATTGGCCATGATTTGATAACTGTCGAAGCTGAGTAATTAGTACATAGGAATTCATCATATTATTCGCTCTATCTTTGTATCGTGCTGGAAATTTTACAACATAACATTTTTTAAAAACAAAATAAAAAGCCCCCAAAAGGCTAAAAAACACTACTTTCATCTAACTTTGGGATTAAACCAGCCTCCAAGGAAGCCTCTGGCTTAGTTAGGTTAGTTGCTTCCCAGGGACTAGATCAGAGCCAAACTAGCTTTTTCGATGCGGAATCAAATGAAGTGCCATTTGCTGCTTTTCACACCAAAAGAACATTTTCATTAGAATGAAGAAGTAGTTAGGCTATTTAAACAGCTAACATGTATTAAAATGGAAAACTAGGCAAAGAGTTTGAGAAAATTTTCTTACTGTGCTCAACATTGGTTAGGATTCTATTTGCATATAATGTTCAAATCTGAGATTCCCATTTTTAGAAAGATATGAATAATTTAGAGAAGATTCACAGAAAAACAACAAAAATGGTCAAAGGGTTTGAATACGTCCTCACAATAGCTAAGATGATTTAGAGTGGCAAAAAAGAACAGACGATCACTTAGTAGCAGACTTCAAATGTAGGATCACTGAATTCCACTGTTCTTCACTTATGAGAGAGCCACAGAAACTAGATTAAATTTTCTCATTTCTCAAAAGGAGTTAGACTACATGATTGTTAAGTATAGTATGAGATCTAAAATTCTATGATGTCCTGGTTTTTGATAGGTGCATTCGTTGAGAAAACCTATTATCTTCTCTCTCCTTGTTTGAATACTCATAGCATAAACATTTAGATTAGATATAATGAAATATTTCCTTTTTTGTGGAGGCATAAGAAAATCAAATTAGAAATATCCATTCTCCTCCTACCTTATCTTCCCTGCTCTCCCCACCCCCCACCCCACTCATTCTTCATTAAAATATTTGTGTTGCAGTCTAGCCTGGAGGCAGGAGAATGAGCAAGATGAATTCTTAAATTTCCTTTAGCCTGATGATGCTATCATTGAACTATTTCTCATATACCAAAGATAGAAGGTTATAAGTGTAATGCATCCCTTGCACCTAAGCCCTTTACTGGCCCCCTTCTCAAATGCTAAAGTGGGTAATTCTATCCCCATATTAATGTTGACCTACGGAATAACTGACAAAGACCAAAGGCAATCTGCAAAAAAACTGTTTAACATACACAGTTTAAGTATTAACTCTGAAACGCAGAACGAAAAATTGCCTTGGCAGAAGTAACATATCTCAGACAGAAAGGAACATTTTGTAACACAGAAGAGGTGAGAAAAAATAGAGAGGGATATAGAACAAAATGTTTTACAATCATGTCTGTACTCTAATATTCTTATATTCCACGTATGGAAACTGAGGTATTGCTTTGTGGGAAAATTAACACTAAAATGGAAAAAGAAGAATGTGATAAGGTAAGGAAATCTTAGGAACTCTAAAGAACTAGAATAAAATACAAAAACAAAATCTCTTAAATAGCATTTATTTTTTTAAAAAAGCCTATTAAATACATAGTAATAGGAATCTCTAAATTATCAGAAAAGCATTACCACTAAAATTGTATACATATTTTTTTATATAAGAGAAGAAATATCAGGTCAGAATCTGAATTTCTCTTTATCATTTTTGAGAGTACAGAACTGCTACAAAATGACTAATATTGCCTCAAATGAGGGCAATTAAATTCTCCCATGAATTGCCATGACATCCCCAAAAGTGGTGTTAAAATATGTAAAAGTGTCCATTCCAAAGCAAAGCTATTCCTCTATTCCTTCATAAAATATTTAAGCTAAAGAAAAAAAGAAAGAAAACCCAACAGCTGAAGACAACATCAGGCTATTTATAAGTCTTCTCCCAGTCCTCCAGACACCCTCAGATGGGGGCTGTAAACAGCTAACTAAAATATCTTTGAGGCTCTCATATCCACACCCACTGACACAAGTAGAGCTGTAGCCACAGTGAAATTAGCCTTCAGCTTCCTTTAGCAAGTAGTATATGCCTGCAATAGTACACTGGAGCAAATATAACAGTAATAAAACAATTTTTTTAAATAAAAATCATACCTTTTTCTCCAACAAATGGTAAAGACCATGTGAAGACATCCATAAAATTGGGCAACCAGTAAGGATGTGGAGAACAGTTAAATTGTCGAATATTCATCACATTATTTTCATACTTTAATACAGCAGCTGCAAGATAAGTCTGAATGTCAATGTAACAATTTGCCTTTAGCTCTAAAAGTCTAAAAACACATATAAGCAGAAAAATATCTTTTTAAGGGGGTGAGGAATCAAGGGGTGAGTAGAATGAGGGCTAGTAGCGGGAGGTAGAAATTTTTAGTAGTAACACACTTTTGCTTTTAACACACTCTTATGTAGAGCATAGTCAGATCTTCACTTGTCATTATTAATGAAATTCCCAGTCTTTCTCGAATGTTTATTTTACTTTATAATCCAATGATAAACATGCACTTTTACTAAATCCAAAATTGTGAAAACTCAGTTTTTAGAGGAAACACAGAATGACAATGAGCAATTTTCTAGGTTTAAAATTTCATACAAGTTGGAAGAATTTAAGAGGATGTTTTTAGTTGCAGGCAACCTGAAAAGGACAGCTAAATGGAAATAAAGCAAGAAAAAAAAAAAAAACAGAAAAGAAAAAAATTTGGAACATTTTATTTATGAATGTAGGAATGTACTTATTTCATGTATTATAAGAAATCAAATGAAACTACTACAAAAAATATTTTACTTCATATAGAAAAAAATTCCATTAAAATACCGAAAGAGAAAATATTATACAGGTAACATACTCTTCTCAATTTCAGGTATCTTTTTAATGTCTCATAAGTTGATATAAACAATACCTTAAATTAATCTGACATAGATTTCAGTCACTAGTTATATTATTTTATGGGACACTGGACTAGATGGGCTAGATTCTAATCTAAGCTACAGCATATACTAGCTGTGCAATAGTTAGCAAATTAACTAATCTGTTTCTCATTTATAAAATAAGACTAATATGTTCACCCTGCCTACCTCAGAAGTTTAAGGTCAGAGAATGTATTTCACATGAAAGTACATAAAAGTATAAAATGCTTTGTAGATACTATAATAATTATGTGGTTACTTTTCTTTTTTCATTTTAATGTAAAGCACTGAAATGTAGATGTTAAATTCCAAGATTTGGGATTCTAGCTCATATAGAGTCAAAAGTAATATGTTTGTTTCCCTTATGAAATTCCCAGGAAATAAACATATTTTAAATTTAGCCTCAGAAATTAAGGGCTGATACAAAGCATTCGGCTTTAAAAGAGAGAAAGAATCTAGAAAATTGCCTTACAGATGGAATGAAACATTACAAACATATCCCATACCATGTAAGCACTCAAGTCATTAACACTATGTACAGAATCAGAACTACCAAGAGACATTTGATTCTGACAAGACAGATTCAATGGTTTGAGTTTCTTTTCTGAGTACTAAGAAAAGTGATCCCTTAACCTCCTGAGTTAAACTGACGAAGGACAACCAGTAAGTCAGTAATCAACAGAGCACACTGACAAGGGGAGGTTACAGGTAGAAAGTTAAATGTAACAAATCAATTCTGAGGATGGCATCCAAACTTAGATATGTTCCTCTTCAAAAATGAAGCCATGCTTCATTAGGTATCTTTATAGAAGCGTCAAAATTTATAAACCAAAATATAATTTAAAAGACTATTTTAGCACTGGCATAATCCTTGGAGGCTACAATGATACTAGCTTCTAAAGATTACCAACTCAGTTAATGTCAATGGTATGGCTGTTTTGGTAATTAATACAGTATGGAGTTCTTGTAGCATACTCTGTATTCAAGTTATTATACAGCTTGCTACTGTCTGATCTCTGGCAAATGTTTTAATCTTTTAACTATGATCTATACTCTTCCAAAAACTCTTATTCCACTCCTCTTTTGAACTCACACCACAACCCATATTTAGCAACGACCTCATTATTTCTCTAAACGTACTTTTAAAAGTCTTTAACCTTCTGTTCTTTCCTCCTGGTACAACCACTCCAGTGTGACCCTGGAAACTATGGCATAGTCAACTGAATTCCAGACATGTCAAGACAGAATAGAAGCTGGCTTCTTAATTTCCTCTTCTGAAAATGTGAACTACGTAAACATACTGAAGCTCATCTTCAGTGTCCCTAGTACACACTTAACTAGATTAAGATCCTTTGGTATTATCTCTCAATAAACTGTGTTCAAAGTTAAAGTAAACCCAGTTATTACAGACAGAGCAAATTTGGAGGGAAGAAGGGGGAACAGGAACCACCAGAAAGAAGGGAAATTAAAAAGACGTAAGAAAGGGCTTCCCTGGTGGCGCAGTGGTTGAGAGTCCGCCTGCCGATGCAGGGGACATGGGTTCGTGCCCTGGTCTGGGAGTATCCCACATGCCGCGGAGCGGCTGGGCCCGTGAGCCACAGCCGCTGAGCCTGCGCGTCCGGAGCCTGTGCTCCGCAACGGGAGAGGCCACAAAAGTGAGAGGCCCACGTACCGAAAAAAAAAAAAAAGGACGTAAGAAAAAAGGAAGAAAGATCAGTAAAAAGAAAGGAAAGGGAAGAATGTATCCCAGAAAGGAGGTCAGATTGACTTAATCAAAGCCTCAACTACAAATCATCATGGGGCAGTAGAGATAAAAGTAGGGAATAAGAAAGGGAAAGCAAACCTAGATCAGTGAACATAAAACAAGAGACATGATAAACAACTATGCGGTACAAATACATGAAATGGTCAAAGCAGCAACAGCAGCTTTATGCAAACAAGAAAACATTCTCTTGACTATAAGGGGGAAGATTTAAGAAAGGGGAGTTTGAGAAAATCATGTTTATTTTTGCTTGACGTAGTTACCTCAGAACATTCTTTCACAAGGCAGCTTTTGTGAATGACAAGTTGTGGACTGGTTACATATGACTTAAGTTTCACATTTTGGATTTTTATTTCTTGCCCTCTCCCCTCCCTTATATCTTATACTTTTTTATAATAAGATTTGGATAGTTACAGTTTCAAACAATACCCCTTTTCTATTATATTTTCAAAAAAAAGTCAATTTATATATTAAGTTGTTTAACAATTTTTTTATCAACAACGTCTTACCTTTATTATTGTAGACATCTAAGTAATTAGGTGCCGAAAAAATTGTTATTAATGAAGGGAACCCTGTAGTTTGACTTTTTCTGTACATTCTATAGCTGCAAAACAAATAGCTTAATATGCATCGTAAAGCATCAATCATGGTTACTAAGTTTGATTTGTATATAAGGTGTTAATTTGGGTCAGGGAAACAGAATTCTTACCCTGCATCTTGAGCTTCATGAGCTCTAATAATCGATAACAAATTATTGTTTTGCAAAAATTCACACACTGCTGGATAGCTGTGGGGAAAAAGAGTAAATTAAGTAAAATAATGACTTTCTATATGAAGCATATGCTATTTTAACAACTACAATGTGATTAAACTTGGATTTTTTTCCTTACTTATAAAAATAAGAACATCCTCGAACTGTATTGTGACTAAAATGTTCCTGTGATTTTTCATTTCCAAAATCTTCAGAAGGATCAGACCATAGCAAGTCACACATTGGTCCAAATGCAGGTGGCTCTTTGAATCTATCTAACTGTGAAAGAAGAAAAGAAATAAAGAACAGAAATAACTTGTCAAAAAGTGAGAATGGAATGGACATAGGAAAGTGGTACCAACTTTAAATATTGTCCATACTACATTGTTCTGAATGGTTAGAAGATATTTCCATAAAATATCAGTATATTAATTTTTACCATTACCTAATCTTGGCAGTGAAGAGAGGTTTGAAGCTTCTAGTCTCTATCCAACAAAATACTATAAATAGGAATCAACTCTTGGAACTAAAATATATACTCACTCTCCTAATATCATCCAGTGTGTGTATTTCTGGTGAAAGTCCACCATGAACACAAAGAAATTGTTGGTTTAAAAGTGCAGCAAGAGGCAGGCTATCAAAAGCTTCCATACAAGCTTCATAGACTCTTTCTGAATATTTAATTTTACCTAGAAAAAGAAAAAAATTCAATAATTGAAAACTGCATAACTTGTTGATCATTTTGAAAACATGTGTGTGTGTATACACACGACTATTAAAACCAAGGTAAGAAAATTAAAGATACGGGAAACAGCCAAGTGGCAGCCAGAGGTTCCGACTGGGTAAAGGGGTGAGTTTAAAAAGGCAGCAAGGAGAAATTTAAGGGACAATAAAACTTTTCTGTATCATGACTGTAGTGGTAGGCAGCTCTATTCATTTGTCAAAACTCAGAACTAAACACCACAAAGAGTAAATTTTACTGCGTAAAAAAATTTTTTTTAAAAAGGCCAGCATCTTGCCCCATTGAATCAAGAAGGATAAGCAATGTTATTGATCTTGTGAAGACAAAATATGTGCTCTCTCTAAATTTATTTTGTGTATGCAGCAGATAGTCATAAAATGTTACTAAAAATAAATAAGTCAAATCTCTAAAAATAGTTAAACTCTTCACCTTTATAGGCCAAGAAAGGCAAAATTAGAACTAAAAGTTAAAACAGTGTTAATACTTTATTTTATTCTAAAAGTCAGTGACTACTTTGTTGTTATAGGCAAGACTACTATATCACCACAACAAAACTCAAGGTCCATCCAATTAAAAAAAAGATTTTATTCATATGTTGCAGGAGCAGAGTCTTTCCTTTAGCCTACAATAAACACTTAAAATGGGCAGTGAAGCAAGAAGCCAATATAACACAAGAAAGACTCTACCAAACTAAACTCTCATCTACTTTTAAGTAGATATCATACACATTCTCTTGCTCCTTTATACTTTTAAATTCCTGGATATTTTATGTTTTGGGTGGGATTTTGGCGGACCGCTTGTTCCTTATCTAAGGGAAAAAAAGAACTTAGTTCCTACTTCACTTTTTAATATTGTAACATTCAAATACGAGAAAATCTATATCCAGCAAGCAGAGGTTATAAACTGATAGTCTGCTGACAGATCTGTTTTCCAACACTGTGGTTTAATAAAAATTTTAATTTGATTGCTTTTAGGTCAAGCATGCACTTCCCAGGTCTCATCTTATATTCTTTAGGTTACCCACCTGATCCTTGAAGTTATATGAGCTTGCCACCTCTGCCATTATCCATCACTATATCGATCTTTATTGAATCATGTTTTGAGCCTCAATAATTCTGAAGTTATTTCTAATTTTAAATCTTAACTCTAAGACTTAATACAGCCATGAATATTAACAAGTACACAGCTATGAGGTGTGAAAAAAGGTCAAACACTGCTCCATACCATATGGTTGCTTATAGCTATTAGATTACCACAGCCATAATAATTTAAGAGAGAAATGGGGTAAACTTTGTAGGTTATGACCTTCCATTCATTAATAGTGTGTTTAAAACAATCTGCATAATTAAAAAATAAGTAAAACAATCTGCAATGATGATTAATCTGCTAAGAATTTTCATGGGAACGCCTCAATATTGATGGAGAGAAATCTCCAACGCAACATTTCTTTTCTTTTGGTTTATATTCATCCTGTTAGAAAAAATAATTCTAACGTTAAAACTACATACAGAGCTCAAAACTGTTCCTAGGTACATATGTAAAAATCAAACTTAATAGGAAATACTGAAATGAAAACATCTGAATAAAATTAAACACTAGAGATCACTAGACAATCTTCCTCAAAGCTTGACACATTCGGACACAAAATCTGTTCTTACATGTTGCACTGTAAAAATCGTCAAACTCTTACTACCGACATCACTCCAAAAGAATACTGAGGAAGTGAAAATATTTCTCATGGCAGTACTCACATTCCTGCTTAAAGGTAAAATATTCAGTAAGGTGTCTGCATTCATGGTTGCCTCTCAGAAGAAATAATGTGCTTGGGTATAGAATCTTCAGGACCCATAAATATAAGACACACTACAAAAGAAAATGTTTCCAGTGAATTAATCTTATATTTTTGTTTAACTAAGCTGTTCGATCTTTGCTTCTTTTCTTCTAACCCTATTACCCTTACAATCTCTATCACTCTTCATTATCTTTTTATTATCTTTTTCTCTTTGTCCCTTACTAAAACATAAGCTCCATGAAATTAGGGACTTTGTCATCTTATTCACTTCTGATTCTCCACTCTTAGAAAAGCACCTAGCAAATAGTAGAAGAGCAATAAATAGCTGTTGAATGAATGAGTCAAATAATTTAATTACTTTAGATTTACAAATTGTTTGCTGTAAAAACAATTAGCAGATTGGGCTCCTCCTTAGGTATACCAATAAATAAAACAATAACAATGTCAAAAATAATAGCAGCTAACATTTATTGAGTACTTATAATGTGCCAAGCACTATATAATTAATTCCCCTCCTTTATTCCTCAAACAACCCTACGAAGTATATAATATTATCTCTATTTACAAATGAGGAAACTGAAGCAAAGAGCTTAAGTAACTTGTCCGAAATCACAAAACCTCTAAGTAATGGAGATAGGATTCTGATCCTCTGATCTTAAACATTATGCCATGCTGCCTAATGAAGAGAATAACCATGCTTTATGTTTACATTGTTGGTTATGAATGTTGCCTTATATAATGTAGGTGCTTATTATGTGAAATGATTCAAAGATAATTCAATTTCTTAATAAAAAGAATATTAAAACAGTACAGCAACTATTTTTCCCTAAATACACCTAACATAAGAAACAGACTCAATCCCACTACTGGGCATATACCCTGAGAAAACCATAATTCAAAAAGAGTCATGCACCACAATGTTCACTGCAGCTCTGTTTACAATAGAAAGGACATGGAAGCAACCTAAGTGTCCACCAACAGATGAATGGATAAAGAAGATATGGCACATATATACAATGGAATATTACTCAGCCATAAAAAGAAACGAAATTGAGTTATTTGTAGTGAGGTGGATGGACCCAGAGTCTGTCATACACAGTGAAGTAAGTCAGAAAGAGAAAAACAAATACCGTATGCTAACCCATATATATGGAATCTAAAAAAAAAAAAATGTTTCTGAAGAACCTAGAGGCAGGAATAAAGGAACCTAGAGACAGGAATAAAGATGCAGACATAGAGAATGGACTTAAGAACACAGGGAGGGGGAAGGGTAAGCTGGGACGAAGTGAGAGAGTGGCATGGACTTATATATACTACCAAATGTAGAATAGCTAGCTAGTGGGAAGCAGCCGCATAGCACAAGGAGCTCAGTGCTTTGTGACCACCTAGAGGGGTGAGATAGGGAGGGTGGGAGGGAGACGCAAGAGGGAGGAGATATGGGGTTATATGTCTAAGTATAGCTGATTCACTTTGTTATAAAGCAGAAACTAACACACCGTTGTAATATACTCCAATAAAGATGTTAAAAAAATAAAATTTAAAAAAATAAAAAAAGAAACAGACTCACATTTTACTTATTTGGTTAAAAAAAAAAAGGAAAGACTATTTCATATGTAAATAAGCTTGGTTTACATAATCATATACAAAAAGAAAAAACAAACTTCATTTATTTATTTTTTTGGCCGTGCTGCTTACGGAATCTTATTTCCCTAACCAGGGATAGAGCCCGGGCCCTTGGCAGTGAAATCACAGAGTCCTAACCACTGGACTACCAGGGAATTCCCACAAACTTTATTTTAAACAAGTTAAGGTATATGAAATGTGTAACTATTCACATCTTCATTTTACTCACAAGAAAAAAATAATTAAACTGGGGAAATACTTATTAAACACCTGTCCTTTTTCCTTATTCTGATTCTTTATTATTTTCCTTTTATAACAATAAAATATATTAACAGTCAGCTACTAAACCCTCTAATGCAAAGACATACATACCAACATGCTCAGGTACCAAGTAATCTTCCTAAAATTTTTTATTTTATTGTTTTTGTCAAAGCCCCCAATCAGAATAGAATTTTAAAAAAAAAGCCCCCAATCTTTATATTAAGGAGGGCAATTTTCTAGTTTTCTTGAAGGCTCCAGGGAAGTTTGAGGAGGCTGATGATGAAACTATGAATGGAAAGAGGAACAACTAAGGATAATAAAATTCCCGAGGGAATTTGGGTGGACAGAGCCCTGAGCTCTCTTCCCCACTAAGGATCCTAGCATACCTCAGAAAGGAGGTTGAAAACACTGGAGGAGAATTAAACAACAGTAATCGGCATGGAAATTCACCAGGTAAAGCTTCAGTATCTAGTGGGGGAGATGGTTAAGAGCACAGGCTTAGAGTCAAACTGCCTAGCTCCACCATTTACTAACAATATGACCATGGGCAAGTTATTTAACCTCTCCAAGCCTCAGACTCCTCTATAAAATGGATAAAATAATAGTACTTACCTCATAACTTTGTTGTAAAGATTAATCAATGTGTATTAAGTGCTTAGAATATGCTTGAAACACATTAATGCTAACACACCTATCTATTTGTAGAGCTTCTACCCAACAATTTTACCTGTAAGAATCTGTCCTGTAGAAATTGGGCAAGTATATAAAGATGTATAAATATATATATATAAAGTATATAAAGATGTATAACTAATATGGCTCACAGAAGCATCACCTATAATGGCAAAAAACTGGGAACACCTTATATGCCTAATAATAAGTTGATTAAATTGACTGTGACTTGTTTAGTCAATGGAATACAATGCAGCTATTAAAAATGATGCTATAAATTTATAATTATTTACCTGGAATGACATCACAGCATAGGGATTTATGAAAAAAGGAAGTTACAGAACCTTATAATAGGGTTCCATTTTCATTTCAAAAAAGGAAAGAAAGAGATGCATATATTAGAAAATACAAATTGTTCTATATTTATATCTTATTTTAATTTATATAATTAGAAAAGTAAAAGGAGCAAAAAGAACCATCTACTGCTAAGTGATAATCAACAGGTCACTTTAATGTCTCAAGTTTTTTAAAACAAATACTTTCAGAATGCATAAAGATTCTATATGATATATATGGGTTTTAATTGCTATGGAAGGAGGGATAGAAGTACTAGAGTTTGAGCAATAAACGCACTGTAATATATTTTATTTAATCGGAAAAAATACAATTAATCTTTTTTTGCATGGGTGAATGCCTTTAACGGCAAGAGAGATAAACAGCATTAGCTCCTTAGGGCCACTAGATAACAGGGCAATAAAGACCCCTTAGTTTGCTTACAATTTCCACTGGGAAAAATGGCAATTATAATTACATTAAGAGTGGCACAAAGAAAATTAAAAGAATAGTTTGAAAGACAGAAGAGGAATAAATAGTAGCTTTACTAAAAACTTTAGAATATGCAGAGGTATTAAAAAGAACCCAATACAGGTAATTTAAGGAACTTATTTTATTAGGAATTAATGGAAATCATCTATGATAACACTTAAAAGCAAATCAAATGACAGTATATGATTATTACCTCTATACTAAAATAACCTCTGTCCACATAATCACCAAGAAAAAGGTATCGTGTATTAGCAGGTGATCCTCCTACTTCAAAAAGTTTCATCAGATCAAAAAATTGGCCATGGATGTCACCACACACTGAAACAAGAAGATTATTAGATATGAAAAAAAAACTCTGAAATAACAAATTTTACTTAAATTCTAATTTATTTTACATAAGAGATAGTGTAAAATTATATCAAGAAAGGTCTAAGAAGGAAGTAATCTATGAGGAGTCATGATAGGGATGATGTGTATACAAGTGTTCATGTGCTCAAGATCTAGAACGAGATAGAACAAAAGTAATGAAATTTGTAGTCAGTGACAAAATTTTCATCTAACTTTATAAAGCTCCTCTTTAGGAAGCCAAGCATGCATGTCTTAGGATGACAAAATTATAATGGTGGCAGTAAAATCTCCATTCTAACTCCATACTTTCTGTTGACCTGTAAATGATCACTTTTGGTATCTGATACAGCATTGAGGTATTTGCCCCTAATGACTGAAAACAAAGTAAATAAGTATTTGTTGAATCAAATTCAGTGATGGCCAACACAACTAATGAAACCTTCACAAAAGCATACTAGACTAACTTCTGCACTCAGATTATTTAGGATCATGTTTATTCATTGAAAACAGGCAAAAACTTTAAAAAGAAAATAATCTGGAAATTCAAGATAATGTCCATGTAATATTAATTTAGTATACAATATGAATGAAGAAGAAACAGCTTTATATTTAGGTAAGTAAATAATGGTGCAGTAAAAAAAATAATATCCAAAACATAAATAAGTGTACCTGTAATTGGAGCCTCTACTTCTATCATGGTTTTCTCTCTCCGAAGAATGGCAGCACCCTCATTGATAATTCTAAGTGCAATTTCTTCATCTACCCGACCTTCTTTTACTAAGTGGTTCTTCAAAACATCAACCCTGGGTATCCCATCCATATCAAAAACTTCTTCAGATGTCAAGCGATGCGTTGGGGGGAAAGGGACAGCTGCAATTTTTTTTAATTAATAAAAAATAAATCACTATTAATATATTAACATAAAAACTAATCAATGGATCTAGGTAAATAAGAGTAAAAACTGAAAAGCTGAAGTTTTGCTTCTTCATTTACTGGATGGGGTATTAATTTTTTTAAAAGCTTTTTTTAAAAAAAGAGTAATCAAACTATACTGCCTTATTAATAATCTATATATAATAACAGAAGAATTATTAGAGAAATAAACTGTCTCACAAAATTAAAAGTTCTTTCAGGATAACTAAAGCTTTTTTCTTTAAGCAAAAACATTTTTTGGTAGAATTCTCAAAACATACATTCTTCATCTTAAATGAAGTACAATAAATATAACTTAATACCACATAGGCATGAATAGAAAGAAATCCCAAATATAAGGTGATCTACCAACTTCCTATTAAAAATATATAAAACAATGCCTGCTAGCCAACTTGAATAGAAACTTCTAGGGATATAGATTAAAACAGCCAAATGCTTATTGATGGAATTTAAATTAATTCAGATGCACATATAGATTTGAAATAACATTAATAAATCACGATAATTTTGAAATACTGCTTTTTCTCTTACCTTCATGTTTCATAAAATACTTTCATTCAAAATCTTTACACAAATTTTTGACATCAGTGTATTCCTTATCACTGGATTCATTTTTTGAGTCATCTAACATACTTTTCAAAAGCAAATCATCCTCACTCCCATTTAAGTTGTTTGAGATACAGCACTTTTTAAATACATATTCAATGCTATCACTGCAAATTTATCCTAAGCCACAATTTCCATTTGTCTAACTACTGAAAGAGTTGGCCTTTTTACTCCTGTAGCATATATTTACGATTTCCACAAGTAATTACCAACTGTATTGTTTTAAATTGATATTTGCTTTTTTCTATTCGTAAGAATTTAATCATTAAGAAACGCCAGATGAAAAAACAAAAGACAAACTGATTTCAACATAAAGCTCTAAATCCATTGTCATTGAATAATCCAGTTACTTATTCTTACTTATAATGTTAAAATCAATATTTTTCTCTCACGCCTGTGATTCATTTCTCATGACTGTATTACCATTCTCTTTAAACATTATTGTCTTTAAACATTATTATCTTCTTCATATACTGGGAATTTTCAACAAAAAATAGTACAATGATTTTTGTCTTCACTATAATTGAAAATACTTTGCTCCTGTTCAAATGAAATGAGATTTAAAATACTGAATTTAAACTGATATTTGTTAAATGGAATGGAAAACGTGAAGGTCCATTTTCAATGGTATCTACCACAATTTTGAGGTCATATACCTAGGAAAAGTTACTACATATCTGTTAAAATATTTTATTCCTTCTTTACTGAATCCAACAAATGACCTCTATATGCATTCAAAATCAGCTTGGATTGAAGTAGTTTTAGGCCCTTTACCAAACAGTACTTTGCTTTTCAAAACAAAGAAAGCAAGAGGGCTTCCCTAGTGGCGCAGTGGTTAAGAATCTCCCTGCCAATGAAGGGGACACGGGTTCGAGCCCTGGTCCAGGAAGATCCCACATGCCCCAGAGCAGCTAAGCCTGTGAGCCACAATTACTGAGCCTGCGCTCTAGAGCCTGTGAGCAACAGCTACTGAAGCCCGCACGCCTAGAGCCCGTGCTCCGCAACAAGAAGCCCACGCACCGTAACAAAAGAGTAGCCCCCACTCGCTGCAACTAGAGAAAGCCGGCGCCCAGCAACAAAGACCCAACTCGGCCAAATAAATAAATAAATAAATATATATATATATATATATATATTTTAAAAAAAAGAAAGCAAGAGAGAAATTTATAGTAAGAATTTAGTCTACCTATAGATTCAAATGTAAGGCAGATCTCTCTTTTCTGAAATAAAATTTTTAAAGAAAAAAGTCACTTTATATTTGGGCATACAGTACATACTATTTTCTTGATGTTTCAGGGCCATCACTGGGATCATCAATTATTATGCAGAAGACTGGAAAAGTATAGGACAAACTGTTTCTTCACAGTACAACTTAAAAAAAACTAAAAGCAGGGGGCTGGGTTAGAATTACATCAATTACCTAAGAAGAGTAAATAACCACATTCTCATAGGAGGAAAAAAAGTTAGGAAGAACTCAGTTCTTATAAGTGAGATAAGAACTAAGGCAGAGGGATATCAACCATTTCTAAAAGACTTTGAAATCATCAATCCCTGTTGCTTTCATCTTTTTTGATACTTAGTAAAACAAAACTTGAACTTGCATTTCCCCCCCTTCTTTAGAACACATCTATTCCCATTACTTTTTACTGCATCTAGAATAAGACATTAAAATACATTTTGTTCCCCCAAATATAGTATGTCAGATTCCAAAAAAATAAAAACCTTTCTTAACGTACGTTCTTCTCCAACCAAAGATTAAACAAACCATCATACTATATGCTATAACCAAATTTGCCCCTAACAGTAAACCAATTGTTTAAAAACTACAAAATTTAGGTTGAGAGTCCGCCTGCCCATGCAGGGGACACGGGTTCATGCCCCGGTCCGGGAAGATCCCACGTGCCGTGGAGCAGCTAGGCCCGTGAGCCATGGCTGCTGAGCCTGCGCGTCCGGAGCCTGCGCGTCCGGAGCCTGCGCTCCGCAACGGGAGAGGCCCGCGTACCGCAAAAAAAAAAAAAAAAAAACCTACAAAATTTAACAATTACTAAATAAAAGTTACTTCTGGGACATCATGAAAATGAAAAGTTTAAATATCTCTTAAATACAAATTTCTGAGATCAAGATGGGGTCATATTTTTCTCATCAGGCCAAGAGAATTTTTCCTCTACTTAGGAAAAAAGATACTGTTTAAAATGTTGCATTCTAGATTATGCATACTTCCTAATAATCAACAACATAAGTCAACTAACAGGTGAATTCTGTTCAAAATACAGAACTTCCTAAAAACCGATCTGGGAGACAATCTGTCTCTGCCCCACTCAGCCAGTCGCCTGTGGTACTGCATGTTTTCATGCACATTGTGAATGCCCCACTGCAAGTCACACTGAGCTATTATTGCTCCTCTTTAACCAAGAGTCAGAATGTCTTTATTCATCTGGGGAAAAAAAGTATAAACTGCCTCCAGACCTATGTTTTCTACTTCTTTTTCAATTCAAGGCATACTTTTAAATTTCAGCACCAGTTGGTATACTTTTTAAGGAATGGGTACAGGTTGAGGGGTGAAGAAATGCCACCATAGGTAAAAGTAGACGAAAAACTGTTGTTCTAACAACACAACACTGATAGTGGAGAATAGAGAGTTTCAAAAGAATGTTTTAATATGTCAGTAAATAAGAAAATAAGAGGCAAAGGCATTGTGCTCTTTGGCAGCTGGAGAAAGGAGCCATAGCAGGTGATCTAACTAAGCAAAAGAAAACTAACCAAATAGAATTTGGCCTAATAGGAAATTAATTACTGACCCTGTTGGTCAATAGAGGGTTAAATTTTTTTCATCAAAAATTAATATTCTCAACTACTACCATCAACTCCTAAGGTACTTTAAAGCATTTCCATTTAAGTTCAGGTTTTAAATGATTGGGTTTTTTTGGGGTTTTTTTTGCGGTACGCGGGCCTCTCACTGTTGTGGCCTCTCCCGTTGCAGAGCACAGGCTCTGGACATGCAGGCTCAGTGGCCATGGCTCACAGGTCCAGCCGCTCCGCGGCATGTGGGATCTTCCCGGACCGGGGCATGAACCCGTGTTCCCTGCATCAGCAGGCGGACTCTCAACCACTGCGCCACCAGGGAAGCCCTAAATGGTTTTTTACATTTCTAATTCATCTTCAGCCAACTATTCCTGTTTTTCTAGGGTTTTCATCCTATATATTTTTTTCTCCTTATTTTCAGAGTATTTTTCCAACTCTTCTATGTTTGAGATAGGGAAAAACCAGTACATAAAATGTATGTAAATATAATGTGAATGGTCAATAACTGAAATGGGTAAAATGGAGGATTAGCTTGAACAACCTAAAGAGCTATAAAATCATAAAATCACCAAGTTTCCAACACTAGAAAACTTGATTTGGTAATATTCACTTTAACCAAACTGTTCTGTTGAAAAATTTCCTTTAACACAAATTTTGGCATGAAGGTCATATCTGTATAGTAATCAATAACCTTCACAAGCTATTTTAATTCAGATTTAATATATGGTGGCTGATAGACAAGGCCTCAAAAAATTTAATGTAGGAAGTTGAAAAAATAAACCAGGGACACAGACTGATCAAGGATGGGGGAAGAGCAGAGATCTTATTTTTTCTACTAATGGTAAGAAATCCTGGGACTTAACTAATCCTGTTGCCCAACTCTAAGCAAAGGCTGCAGACTATTAGCCCCGTGAGGCCTCCAACACCAACTGGGGTGCAGCCTGTGCCACCTAAAAACTACTCCAAAGTATCATTCAGATGTCTGTGCTGCTCACCATTGCCATTACTGGCAACTGTCCAAAATAAAGTTCCTCCTGATTTTTTTCTCTGTGTTTCTTTTGTTCACACCATACCATCCTCAGGCTGTTCTCCTCCCTCCCAATCCTCTTCATTGAGGCCTGCAGAATTCCCATTATAAAAAATTTTTTAAAAATTCACCCTTCTTTCCTGTGTGCACATCCGTGGGCACGCACACACACACATTTTAGCTCTTCACAGAATGCTGTCTTCATCTCTCTAGCTTAATTAAATCTTAGTCCTCCTGAAGGACAACACTTCTGAAACACTTTTTCCAAAGTTGACGATGCTCATTTTTCCACACTCCACTATTTGAGCAGAAAAGGCTACAGTCTTCTTTCAGCTCCCCACTACCACTTCCAACATCATCACTCCCATGAAGAAGAAAATGCTTCCTCGTTTGAGGTTCATGACTTCTGGCTAGTTTATTCTTGTTCCAGCCATCTACTAAATTTCTGGTCATCTCTCACATGAAACTCAGTTTCCTGGTTCGAAAGCTTTCTCCACTCTAA